GCCAATGGTGTATAAAATGAATGCTTCGAGGTTTTCTGCTCTGTCATACGGTTATTCGTACGCTGTTACGGTTTTCAATCCTATACTTTGCTCTTCTAAATATTCATACGCGTATGGAAACTTTGTGATACGTTGCAATTTGTCGTGCGTGAAAAATGAAGGAAAAATTTTGTTTGTTATGGACATTTGTATACATATATATATATACAAATGCGTTGTAAAATACAGAAAAGTAAGAACAATTTCTTCTTTGCAAATTTCTATTTATCAAGTAACAATTATAATTTTTTTTTTTTTTTAATTGTTCGTTGATTCGTCTTTTCTTTATTATTTAATCCAACGATAGAAGTTTCAAAAGCAAAGAAGATTCAATAATACTTGTTGTTGCTTATTGCCTACAGATAGATTTGATTTATAGGAAACGTGTAATTACAATCGTTTCACTTGTCTGCCCGCGGATGCCTTGAAATTACGGTTCTTGTTAAATCGATATCTTCTGACAGAAACAAGCGACAGTTAGTTTGCTCCTGTCGTCGAGCATACGTGATGCTCGTGAGGATACAATGATGTTCTTGATTGATCACGCAATGGGTTCTTGGATTATCAATACAAATTTACTGGTTCCTTCGACTATATTCAATGAATATTCCTTAAATTCCAAGAGGGGAAGAGTTATATCCCCTTTTGGGATATATTTTGAGATTAAACTCTTTGAAACTTTATGACGTATTTTACTTTATGACGTTTTGTTTTTCCAAACGGTAAAGTGCATTTCTCGGAAAGAAATCGAAGAAATCGTTTGAAGGATGTTGAATTAACTCGATGGTGGGAGGAAAAAGAATAGAAAAGAAAATGAAAAACGAATTTCGTATTTTTGATGTATCAAAAGTAAATATAGAATTTAATATCAAAGCATCGATGACTTGTTCCTGAAATTTAATTTGCGCCAGAAATAGGATAAATAAAAGTGATTCAAATATAATCTTGTAAACCAAAAAATGATACAAATTAGAATACAAAACGTGTAATCCGAAAAAATGATCAAAATTTCGAAGAATGTCTAGAATCTATCTACGATCCACAAGAAAAACAAAACATTTCTTCTTTGTAAAGCAATCACTTTGTATTAAATTATCCTTTAAAATCTCAAGATTTAAAAAAAAAAATTTTCCATATAGCAAATAGATCATGATCAATTATTTTATCTTTTAGATTATTAGATTCACTTATAACAACAATTTGAATTTATACATCAATTTTCTTCTTTATAATTTTAAATTTAATTCGACATTTATTACAATATTTTGATTTCGTGATATTATTCGAGAAAGAAAGATTTTTCATACTCTTTTTATTACTAATTTTTTAAAATTTAGAATAATTTTATTTATTATTTTCGAATTGATATTCTTTGTATGTTTTTCTTTCATTCTTCAATTTCTCCTGAAATATTGAAATTGATATATTATATAATCACCAAAAGATTCTCCCCATTCAACCACGTGATCAATTCCCCGACAGAATTAAAAAGAAATATGGAGCAAGAGCAATCTGTTCGTCTCGCAGGAGGTTAAAGACGAGGACATCGACCACTCTGCGGTTCACCTTCGTGATTCTGAAAGAAAGGAAAAAAAAAGAAAAAAAAAAAGCAAGGGGTATATATCGAGATTCGTCTTTGAATCCCTTTCTTTCCACTTCCCCCTTGTCCTTGCGATTCATCTGGAAACGCACGGTGACAGACGGCGACGCGACGAGAAGAAGAAGATAAACCCGCTTTGGAATAGGGGAGGCGCGATGGTGGACGTTCCAGAGGCTGCTGCAGGCTCTGTGACGGGACACGGAGCGGGCGAATGAAGGGTGGAAAAGAAGAAAATAACTGGAAGAGGACGCGAAGGAGGAGTCTGGAAGCGGTACGCTTTGGAGGCGGGTGGTAGCTACGTTTTACTCGGGCATCATGTTAGAATAAGTACAAAGGTGTATCCGGAGGGCCTGTGACGGTGGCCAAAGGGCGAAGAAGGGATCCCTCTTCTTTTCTTTTTTTTTTTCGCCTTCTCTTTCCCCGAGCAAACTGTCCCCTAACGATAGCGATGGGGATCAAGCGCGTACGATATCGATCAATAATATTGAATCGCTAAGGTATTTCGTAGTAATAATTTAAGTAAAGATGAAAAATTATATAGAATATATCGTTTATATATATATATAAAGTAAGTAAAATAAGAGTAAACTTATAAGAGAAAAATTAACGGAAAGTTCGATATAGCTATAAGAAGATATAATAAATTTTGATCAATAGTGATTCGAAAAATAGTAATAGTAAAACTTGTTCTGAAAAAGTTTATAAGAATTAAGTATATAAGAATGGACGATTATTACTCTAATTTTAAATGAAATCTCGAGTGTATTTTGGATTTGATTTTTTTTTTTTTTTTTGGATTTAGAAGCGCATATTGAACTTGATCCCATCACTACCTACCGGTCGATGCCTCACGCTTGCGCCCTGAAACCGCACCCGCATCTGCCTTGCGAGACCCCTCTGATTCTACCCGAGTTCTTCTCTTTTCTCTCTTTCCTTTTTCTTTTCTCTTCTTTCTTTGAATCGGTGATTAAAGTTCCACTCCACTTTCGTTCTTCGTTCTTATGCCTTTTCTACATCTATTTTTTTCTTTTTTGATTCTTTCGCTTTCTTTTTTTTTTCCCTCCCCTCCTTTTGCTTTCTTTCTACTTTCATTCTTCCGTAGTTTTTGTTCTTTCTGTTTTCTCTCTGTGGCCAGGGGTTGGAGAACTCCGAGGGCGCATAGCAAGTGCTTCCCATTGGCGGAGAGGATACATTGCACACCGACGAGTTCCACCGATTCTTCCTGACAAATTTTCTGGGGTCGTGGAATTTTTAGACATTTGGAAATTATGATAATTCTCTGTTATTGTTGGGTAGAATGGAAAGGAATGTAGAAACAAAATTTTTTTCTTTTTTTGCCAATTATGGCTTCTCTTTCTCTCTAATCAAAATTATTTTCTGTAATAATATTCAGATTTTTAAAATTTGAATTTGATCAACAAATTTAAAGTTATTGCAGCAAAGTATTATATTGTAATTAGTAATATTGTATTAAACAAATTCTTTATTTTTTTTATAGAAAAATTTGCCCATTTTCTTTCTTCTTATTTTTAATGATTTATAGATTTCTCTTTTATAATAAATGATAATGGTGATTCAATGCATTGTCGATTTTTTAAAAACTTTTAAAAAGGGATTATCTTATCAAAATTGTATTATTACATCAAAAAGAAATAAGTCAATTTAATTTTACTTAAAAAAAATAGATAAAAGAAATAGCGATAGAAACCATATCAGATATTCAAAAGATACTTTTCCCCACTTTCCACTAATTTTTCCCTTTCTGGAATAATCGAATTATAAAAGTCATATCCTTTCGGAATTCTTTGATTTCATCGTTTAAATATTCAAAATGAAGGAACAGTGACGCATTTGCGAAAACTCTGTATCTCTCCGGCTGTATAAATAAAGCATCGTGCAGACTCTCTGCAGACTAAACATACAGATGTGTACGTGCATACCGATTTATAATTCTCGTCCATCGAACGATTAAAATTAAAACCACCAGATATATCTCTCGCTCTATTGTTATATAATTAACTATATCTCGATCCGAAAGTTTGAAATAAATGCATCGATTTTATTTCATACATGTATTTCTTTTATTTCCCTTCGCAAAGACGTGGCCTACCCCTATCCTGACATTTCGATTTCCTACGTACAATCTAATTTTACCTACTACACATTTACATTAAAAATATTTTACTCGTAAATTTAAGACTACGCGAAAGTAATAATGAAAATAAACTTTTTTCATACCCAGTATATGCATCCAATACAGATAAATGAATATTTCATATCCGACATTGTGTTATTATTATTTCAAACGATAAATTTTAAAAATATAGTTTCACAATTTTTCGAAGAGAAAAGAAGAAATTTATAGCAACTTAAATGAACCTTCTATCAAAATATATATATATAATCGATAACACACGAGTCGATGGTTAGGTTAGGTTAGATCGGATTGAATAAGATAACATTGCTCTCCATTCATTTTCAAGCGCCCTCTATCTATAATCAAGTATAACGATAAAATTCACTCACCGTAGAAACAATGTTCTGCGTCTTTCGCGAAATTATTCAAAGATGTCTATATCTCTCACGTACGTGTAAAATAACACCAGTGCTAAGGAGATATTCGATTAAGAAGAAAACGAAGGAAATCCAATTACAGTAATAAATGAATCGTTGCAAATCAATGTAGTATCGAGTATCGTCGAGCAAGGAGCGAAAACTTTTTTTTTTATAGGGAAGATAATTCCAAGGGGAAATGGATTAAGTTGAGAGTGAAACATAAACAATGATCCCTATCCGACCGTCGAATTGAACTTCGTTATATACGGGAATAATTGCACGTTGGCCATTGTTCCACCTCCTCCTCTCACCTACTTTCATTTTTATTCGAACACGATTGATCACTCACCCATTCGGTAAATAGGTCGGTTATATAGAGAGAAAGAGAGAGAAAGATATATATATATATATATATACGAACGGCTATATCACGTCTTTCGACGACATCTGTTACTTTAACCGCGCGGTTCTAATTCTGATCAAGTCCTCCTCCGATGTGATCATTGATTCTGCCGGATTAACGACGATCATTTCACCGATAATATTTTCATAGACGGTGTTTGCCTGACATCGACGTTTCACGTGTGTCATTCACCATCTCTTCTCGTCCAATATCTCTCTCGTGATATTATCTCAATCAATTATTATTATAATTACTCGTTACTTTGTTTTCCAACAAACGGATGAACGATTTGAAAGGAAAAAAGAAATTTATCGTGGAGGATTATTGAATTTTATGAATGAAAACTTTGATAATTGATAATTGTATTCGATGAAAATTATTTTTTTATTCGATTTTATTACATTGTTTCTGAACGATCAGGCAAGTGAGAGTATGCAGTTCCCCGTGAACGAGTTACCCCTTTTCCTCCCCTCCTCTTGGAGCACGTCATCCATGGCTTCGTCCACTGTTTTCCCATTTTTCACGGGATTGTTGCTAGCTAGGAGAGGAGAATCCACTCTGTCAGAATTTATGCTTCCTCCGACGGTGGACTCTCGTGGTAAATTTATCATGATATTAGGCTGTATAAAAAGAAGTACGAAAAGAAAAAAAAAAAAAGGGATGTGAACAGTGTGAAACAAGTTCAATTAGTATGCAACAATAGAGTTATTATATCGAGCAATCCAATAAGCAAAAGTTTTCTTCATTTCATATGTATATGTATGAATAAATAAATAAGATTTATTTTTCAATACATTTTATTATAAAATAGTAGTAATTTTTTTATTCGAGTTTTCAGAAAAACCATGCATTATATATTTTTATCATATTAAGATTAATAATAAAAAAAAAATGTAATCAATCATTGGTATATAACCAATTCAGCAATTCTCAACTATAGATGGATATAATGGGCAAAACTTTTTAGATTAACTTCTTCTCTGTTCATTGCAGATACCAAGATTATCACTAAGGAAGATTAATCGAAATAGATCATCTTTTTATGGATTAAAAAATTATGATGACCGATACTAAAATATTCTGGCATGGAAAATCGTAAGCCAACCAAAGTTCGAATATCTAATTAATTAATCAAAAATTTTAAAAACTCAGAGAAAAGAAGTGTATCATCTTCAGAAATTTTAATTATCCAAATGATCTATCTATTAGATAGATAATTTTAACATCTTAAAAATCGTTGCTTTGATCGAATCGACTAAAAAAAAAAAAAAAAAAGAAAAAAGATTTCGAATTTCGAAATTTTCAAATCTAATCTAATCCATTTCTAATCTTTTTGCGCCTTGAATTGAAAAACGCGAATACGTAGAAAGTCTGAGTTATTAAAAATCCACACTCTGATATTTTTTAATCCAAGTTAAAACGATGTAATACATATTTTTATTTAACATCTTTGCTTATGCTGCTTTTACATTTTACATTTTGAGTTCTCTGCTCGCGAGAAGCACGTTCATTTCTTAGCGAGTGCTACTCCTAACATCTGTTTAGATTCTCATAAATTCTCATAAGGATATTTCGTTTTTCTCGCAGGAATAACTAACGTGTTAAAATCTTGTTAGACAGCTTTATTTATTAATCGCGCACTCTTATCTTTCGAAATCCGTATTGTCAATGTTTTTGACAACTTTAAAATTTATTAATATGGAAATCAAAAAGGAGGAAATTCGATTAATCGTTTTTATCAGTGCTGTAAACAATATGCATCAATGAACGAGCGTACGTGTTAAAGGAGATAAGAATGAACAGAGTAAATTCAAAATTGTGCGAATTTTTAATTTACCTGCAAATTTAAAACGTTTTCTAGTCCGATAGTTGGCGGCCTCGGCCTCAACGATCTGGAAGCGAGTTGAAATTGAATATCGTTGGCATCCCGATAACTCAAACATCTCGATCGTCTTGGCATCTCCGCCGGTAGAATTCTTCGTTTTTGTTTCGGCAATTTGCTACGAGCCTGTGACAAATAACATGTACATTCATTTTTCTTAATACTTTAAAGTTTTTTTTCTATCACATTCCTTCTCCACCAACTCTATCAATACTTCTCTCTCTCTCTCTCTCTCTCTCTCTCTCTCTCTCTCTCTCTCTCTCTCTCTCNTATCCGCAAATATCTCGCGGAGAAGATTGGCGAAACGGGCGGAAATAATAGGCATGCAAGCTGGAAACCTTTAATTTTCACGATGTTTCCCGAAAAACTTTGGAAACGGTTGGCCAAGGCAAACTTTCGAGCTTCCTTAAACTCATAGCCCCGGCCAGAAGATCTTCGCTCCAATAAAACGTTTAATAGAGAACTTTGTTGCCGAAATGCACGATTCATATATCCTCTAATCCCTTTAAATACGTATAAAAATTATAGAATTAATGTTAATAATACGAATTAATAAGAAAAATATTTTTCTTCTTTCTGATGGATTAACTTTCAATTCAATTAATATTATCGTGATACGAACGAAGAGATTATCACGAGTATTATTCCGAACAATGATGATATGATCGAGAAATGGCCACGTTACGCGACTCTATCCCGTGGTAACGTGGCAGAATATTTCGTTGTCGATTAATTGGATGGCGCCACCGGTCGTCTCCCCTCCCCCCATTCGTTTCGAATATTCATCGGGTATCCCTGTGCCGCTTGAACGGTGTCGCATGAAAAATTGACACCCGGGCCCGGGCTGGGAGAAACTTCTTTACTCCGTGGAAAACTTTCAAATTGGCTGGTGAAAAGTGCAAAAGTTTACATGTTGCCCGGCTGAATGGATTTCCGCTTCCGTGTTCCCACGGTGAACGCGTTATTCACCGCGTATACGTACTCGCCTGGGCGGCTTAATCCGATGAGAGGAGAGAAAAAAAAAAAAAAAAATGGAAGAAAAGAAGAAGAAGAGGAATCTTTCCATGCGTCCCCTTTTCGTTAATCACGTCGCTTCGAGGAAAAAAAAAAACGCGAGTGTCCAACGCTAGGTTTATTTGAATATCGTATCAAAGAGATTTATTTAATTATTGCCGTTCCTCTTCGATCATTTCTTCGATCCATTGTATCTTCGAATGATCGTGATCCAATTATTAATTATTTCGATTATTTTAATATTTAAGATATTGACAGTTTGACAATTTGACAATGAAAATCGAAGAGAAAAGAAAAAAAGAAACGAGGTGCGAACCTGTGTGTGGGAATAAAACATGGAGAAGTTGCTGACGATAACAGGAACCGGAAGAGCGATGGCTAAAACGCCTGCAATAGCGCACAATCCCCCTATGAACATTCCGGGAAAGGTTTTTGGTGTCATGTCGCCGTAACCAACTGTCGTCATGGTCACCAAAGCCCACCAGAGACCTTGTGGTATGCTGTCGAAGTCGTTATGCGGGTTCTCCTGCGAGCATAGGCGTATCATACGTCATTTTAAGATTTATGGATTCGAGCAGTGGTTAGAATTTTATAATTGTAATATTGGAAATTTGATACGTATCCATTGGGGTATGTATTAATTTTTATGGAATGTGCGGTTTGTAATTTTCTTAAAAAAAAAAATATGGAAACTTCTTCTTTCGTTTTATTCGTTTTGATTCATTCCTGTAAAATATATTTCGATATTATTTTTATCAAAAAAAATAAAATGTGATTTCGTTCTTTTTTTTTTAAATCCATTAATCTTTTGTCGTAAAATATTTTTTCCCATTTTTATACAAATTTCTTGCGCGGATAAATTTCAAACAATTCCTATAAATTTTGATTTTTAATACGAAACGAAAATTATTATATTTGTAATTTTCTTCCAATTCGATATTTTAACAATTTTAACGATTTACGACATTGGCAATATTTTCTTTCGTACGTCAATATATTAATTTTATAAAAATCAGTTATTTATACCAAGAGAGGAAATAGTTCTTTATTATCAATGAAAATAGCTAGTGTGGTAATCTATTATTCAATGGAATTCCAATAATCCGACATACCAGGGAATATCAAATTATCAATATATATTAAAATATTGGGCTGAACGCGATACGATAAAAAAACGAGAAGAATAATATAAAAATCAATCGTGCTTGTAACAACAACAAAGTAAAAAAGGGAAACGTGTTTATAAGAAGAATAATACTCTTTTCGTTCGACGAATAAACGCACGATAAACGTTTCCATTCAATTTTAAAATGATGCAAATGCGAAAATGAGATAAAGTACAATCGCGATCGATCGATGGATGGGTTTAACAAAACTTTATATGATACAAATATTCAAATGTTTCACACTTGCGTATAATTAATTTCACAGTCGACGAAATAATTGTGTACAAATATTATCTTTCTACCTCTTTTATCCACCGATCATTGTTTCCAAAACGACTGTTCGCGAAATAATAATCACGATTACGCTTGGCAAATCGTCATATGCCGGATTATCGGTATTCTATTCAACGTGTTTCCGATCCATTCGCTCCTTCGAATTAACGTTTTTCATCGCTACTCGAAGAATTCTAAGTGGAGCGAATTTTTTCCAAAAAAAAAAAAAAAAAAGAAAAGAAAAAAAAATCTTTCAAAATCGATCTTCCTCTCCAGGAGACAAGAAAAGCTTCTGCACTCTATACTTTCTCCTTTCTTCACAGCGAAAGTAAAGAAACAACAGCTTTTCCAATTACGATGAACTCCATCACCGATCCAGAAATCTCGCACCTGGTGTTCTGCTCCTCGGAAGAGACAAAGAGAGACAAAGAAAGAGAGATAGAAAGAGAGAGAAAGAGAGAGAGAGAGTGTGTAACGAACTTACTTGAAGGCGCTCAGCGTAGAAGATGAGGCTTGCAAACAAGACTATCCCAAGGACGAGAAAGAAAACCAGCAACGCGAGCTCCTTGGCGGAAGCTTTGAAAGTGTGGATCAGAATTCTGAGACCTGGCGAGTGTCTGGTCAGCTTGAAGAGGCGCAGTACCCGGGCTATCGACAGTATCTCGAGATACAGGCTGGATTTGGTGAGGAACTCGGTGTAAAAGCTGAGCGTGGCGGCCAAGTCTATCGCGTTCAATGGCGACACAGCGAATCTCTTCAGACTTGGGCTTACCTGCAATATATAGAGGATTACGAGACGAATTGATAAATTGGTTTCGATTGAAATTTAACTCGACGGTTCAAGGAAAGGATTTTCATCTTTCTTTTTCCATTTTAATTTTCATTTTTCATTTTTTTATTTTAATTTTAGGTTAGAATTAGGAAGATCAAGAACGCATCGATTTTTTTTCAAATTTTCGGTGGAAAAAAGAAATCGTCGCGTTCCAACGTTTTCGACGTCCGCCATGAATATTAAAAATTTCATTCTTCGTTAAAAGGTAAGAAATTGTCTCGAAATTGTTTCGAAATTTTTATTGCGTCGAAATATTTTATGCAGGTTACAGTTATTTTAAAATCGAAACGAAAAATAAAGCGAAAACGAGGGAGGCTTAACACGCGACTCTTGAAAGATCATTCGTAATTTATGTTTCGCGTGATACGTTTGGTAATCGCGTATTGATTTTTCCCGAAAAAAACGGACGTGGGGGGGAAAAGTTTTAACGACAAAGATTGGCGAAAGATTTTTCACTTGTACGTGAAACCCTGCACAAATCATAGATACTTGCGATGATCGATCGGCCAATTATTGAATCCCATTTATCAGGCGGTGGAAACTTCAATTGCTATGAATTAATAGAGAGATATTATCGCCCGAAAGAGGAAAAATTTTCGAGGGAAATTCGTCGATTATGCCTTATTATGCTCGATATTAACGAGATGAAATGTTCTACGATATTTTCGGACAAATGATCGTTCAATTCTACTAATTTGTGTGAATCGTCTTTATGAAAATTAATGACTTTTAAATTTCTAATTTTTCAATCAATTTAAGAATCTAATAATCTAATAATTTTAAGCTAATACGAAAGATTGTATGTATAATTGAGTGGTGATTAAAAATTACGATTAAAAATTTTTCATACACGATGTATTCCAAATTTTAACATTTTCTGATGTTGTTCTCGCGATTTTTTTTTTTTTAAGGCAACGAATATGTTTGAACATTGAACAGATGTTGCGAGGACAATGTCGTTTTTGAAAGAACAATTTGTATATTTAGGAGCAATTCGGTGTGGTTGGATTGGTTTTGAGACTTGAAACGATATTCTTGAGCCATGCTAGTCTCAAATGGCAATCAGCATCATCCTATCTAAAAAGAAGTATTGCAAACATCAGATTCCTGAGAAACAGTGGATTCTATGGATGGTATAGTCTTTTTAGTCTCGTTCTTGGAATTTTTCTTAGATTGTCGCTTAATCAAGGGGCTGATTCATAGTACAGTACAGATGCACAGTATACACTTGCTTGTGTAGCCCATCAAAGATTCGCAATCTCGCAATACGAGTCTTTTTGGAGAATTTTTTGAACTTTAGAAACTTTTTCAAATCTTTTGAACCTTTGGAACTTTCAGAACATTTCAAGTCTTTTGAATTTTTGGAACTTTCTGAATTCCTGAACTGTCAGAACCTTTCGAACCTTTTCAATCTTTGGAATTTTTTCAACTCCTGAATTGTCAGAATCTTTCCAATCTTTTGAACTTTTGGAACTTTCAGAATATTTCAAACTTTTTGAATCTTTGGAATTTTCAGAACATTTCAAACCTTTTGTACTTTTGGAACTTTCAGAACATTTCAAATCTTTTGATCCTTTGGAACTTTCAGAATATTTTAAACTTTTTGAACCTTTGGAACTTTCAGAACATTTTCAATCTTTTGAAACTTGGGAACTTTCAGAACATTTCAAATCTTTTGAATTTTTGAATCTTTCTGAACTCCTGAACTGTCAAAATCTTTCCAATCTTTTGAATCTTTGGAACTTTCAGAACTTTTCGAATCTTTTCAACATTTGGAGCTTTTTGAATTCCTGAACTGTCAAAACCTTTCCAATCTTTTGAATCTTTGGAACTTTCAGAATATTTCAAACTTTTTGAATCTTTGGAATTTTTAAAACATTTCAAATCTTTTGATCCTTTGGAACTTTCAGAATATTTTAAACTTTTTGAACCTTTCGAACTTTCAGAACATTTCAAATCTTTTGAATTTTTGAAACTTTCTGAAACTCTTGAACAAAGTCAAAATCTTTCCAACCTTTTGAATCTTTGGAACTTTCAGAACTTTTCGAACTTTTTGAATCTTCAGAAATTTAGGAATCTTTTTAATCTTTAAAACTATTTGAATTTAGAAATCTTTCTTGTAATCCTGAACTTTAGAACATCGTGAATTTAAAGATAAACGTAAACCTTCATTTGCATATGAACTTTACTTCTGATCATCTTACAATAGAACTCATAACCTTTATAATAAATTGATTTTATTACTACATATCTAGAAACGAAATTGAAGAGCTAACAGAATATATGCCAAATTTTTCCAACCATTATAAATATTTCCTCCATACTTATTCATTATTCAGTTTCAAACTGTTTTATCAAGTAACAAGCCATCACAGGCCAACCATTAATTTATCTCTGTTTAGCAACCCAATCCTAAAATTAACTTGTTTAAACCGAAACGTATAAATTTGTTCACTGTCATAACTATGTGCAAAAACTCTGCTTTGTCCCAACCTAGTAACATTGTGTTGGCGAACCACTTTTGCCCCCGTCACTCGCGTACGCTCGAAAAGGGTCGTAATTATACCATAAGCTTGCTATATTGTGTCGCTCTTCCTTAAAGACACGTAAAAAAACTCGCATAAAATCGCTCCATTCTCTCGATCCATCCACCAACTGTCAAAAGTTCGTTCGATTGAATCACGTACGAACCCCACTCGATCGAATTATCGAAAAATTATCCCATCATTTCCACATATTCGAAATATATTTAAAATCGATTAAACCAATCGTAGAGCAACGTACCAAGCATCGAAGGGTGATCTCGAGGGTGAACCACGCGTTGCACGCGTGCTCCGCGTAAAAGAGCAGGGGATAAGAACGAGGATCGTCGTCTTCATCTTCGTCCTCGTCATCCCTCGATTGTTTCGTGTGACTCTTGAGGCAAAAGCACAGCACCGAGAGGCAGATGAAAAGTATCGAGACGCACGCTACGCACTTGGCAGCGAAGGACGAGTACGGCTCGTCGAACAGTGCCCACATCCGTGCCCTCGACCTCTGCCATCCCGTCAACCTTGCCCCCCCGCCGTTCTCCTCGTCGAAACCGAAAAGTCGCGCGATCTGCTCGTCGCTCAGCCTCTCACCCTCCACGTCCAATTTGTCGAGGATCGCCAAAGTCGCTTGAGTGTCCCTGTGTCTGCTGTACGTGCTCCAACAGCATGGCTCCACCTGTAACCCGGAATCACGGTCTCAGCCGAGTTTATACTCGAAATTAATAGAGAAACTACTCTCTAGCATTTGTGCTACAATATGGATGATGGATACTCTGGCAATGTAGGTAGGAATATGGATGATGATTATCGTGGGCAACATCGAATATTTGTGAATAATAATATTTGTGTAATATTTGTGAATATTTGTGAATATTTGTGTAATTATTGTGAATTAATAAAATTTTACTTTAGTAGCTATATCGAAGAGAGAGGTGAAATACAGAGGTTAATTTTAATGAATACAAGTCCATTTCCAGGAGAGGGGAAAGTAAGTAAATTAAATAAGTAAATTAAAATTTTCTTTCCCCTCTTTTGTTTATTTCGCAAAATATTGTTTAAGTATCAGCAATTTTCAATTTTTTTTTTTTTTTTTCTATTTTTTTTGGTTTCTATAGAATTATTATCGTTTATTAACGTTGCCTTAATTCTCTTGGGGCTTGCGGGGAAAAAAGAGGATTTGGACGAAGACGGTTAATTGATATTGATTGCGTCATTAATTAAGCAAACGGGTAAGTGAAAAACGCAGTTCTCATTCATTTTCTTTGCTCCACATTTATTATTTGTACGTATCTCTCTTTCTTTCTTTTTAAACGCTCTTTTTCGAGAACGTTTGATTGATTAATTTATATGATTCGAGGAATTTAAAGAAAAACGGTATAAAATTATTTCGTTTGTTTCGATTGAAAAATTATCGATATTTTTCGAGTACTGTTGGAGAGTGCCTCTTTGAGTAGAGATGAAACGTAATAAGATGAAATATTTGGGGAAAGAGGATGTATAAAGAAAATAAATCATTCGCGCAACTAAATTTCGTGAACAATGAATCATTTCGAAGAAAAATAAAAGAAACTTTTTTGTTCGTGCAATAAGTTAAAAGTTATTCTTTTTTGTCCAACTTTTGAAATATATTAAGGAAGGTGGCAAAAATTATTTGTTAAAATTACAATCATCTGTACACAGCATGATAAAGTTCTTAATGAAATTTTTGATGATGAAAATATCAGAAATCAGTAAATATACGAAATAACTCGATTTATCGAATAATATTTTGGAATTATTTCAATTATTTCCAAAAATTCGATATTTTCCAAGAATTGTTCGATTACGCGAGATACGTAAATAACGTGATGGTGGAGAATAACGTGGTGTTGGAGAAATATTTAATAGAATATAATCAGAACGTTGATAAAGTTTCGCGTGTACTAAACTAAAGATAAACGGGGGATAACTCATCATCGTTCTACAAAAGCCATCGATTTAATTTAATTAATGCGTTATTCGCGATATAAATGAATATTAAACGGAATAAATTTATTTCCATATCTAATTACAATTTATGCAAATTATTCAACTTTGGACAATGTTTTGTCATTTATGTTCTCATAAAATTATATCCCTTTTGTAATGAGAACGTTGGATCGATGTTTGCACGCGTGCAGTATGATCATCGTAAAAGCATATTGAACAACGAAATAAGGAAAAATAAATTTAATTTTAAAAAAAAATTAAAACATATTCGATAAAAATTAAGAATTTGAATTAACCGTAATTATCATTTAAACAATCGAACTTTACGTTTATTATAAAATTATAGTAGGAAAAAATTGAAAAAGGAATCCTGCTATTATATATATATATAGGTAAAAATATTTTAATCAACAAATTTATTAATTGGAAATTGAATTAATCGATCGTTCATCAAACTCGAAAAGCAGTATTACGAACGAAGGAAAAATAAATTTAATTTTAAAAAAATTAAAAGATATTCGATAAAAAAATTAATTTGAATTAACCATAATTATCATTTAAACAATCGAACTTTACGTTTATTATAAGATTATCGAAGGAAAAAATTGAAAAAAGAAATCCTGCTATTATATAGATAATAATTTCAATCAACAAATTTATTAATTGGAAATTGAATTAATCAAACTCGAAAAATATTACGAACGAAGGAAAAATAAATTTAATTTTAAAAAAATTAAAAGATATTCGATAAAAATTTGAATTAACCGTAATTATCATTTAAACAATCGAACTTTACGTTTATTATAAAATTATCGGAGAAAAAAATTGAAAAAGGGATCCTGCTATTATATATATACAGGTAAAAATTTCAATCAACAAATTTATTAATTGGAAATTGAATTAATCGATCGTTCATCAAACTCGAAAAGCAGTATTATTTCATAACCGATATAACATTCGGCATAACATTGATTACCTGTCCATTTCCTGGATACACAACCACGAATACAAATGTATGCTTTGTTACCACTTTGAAAATACCTCGTTCAAAATGCAGAAACCATGAAACCGCCATCGAGCTAACAGATCGGAAATGTTTGCCCTACGACAGCTCGTATTACACAAACATCTATTCTTGTCTTTGATTTTCCATTCAGATTCACTACATATTTAAGCTGCTGCCAATTGTCCAATAAATACCAAATCTCTTTCATCCATCAAATCGTCTGATGCGCTAATAACAACCATTTTCTTCTTCTTCTTCTTCTTCTTCTTTTTCTTCTTCTTCTATTGTTTTTGAGAACAGAGTTATTATATGTTCCAATGTACGAAAGAATTTCATATAAAAATAGATGCGTAGAGCTGATTCTGCACGTGCAGAATAAAAAATCGAGAAGAAAGAGCAACAACCGCTCTATCTTCGTCATACCTCTTAGCCTCGCTCTATTTTTATCTTTCTTCATCCAATGCAAACTTTATCAATTACTTTCACAAACGAATCTCTATCTCTATCGTTTCTTATATTTATCTCCATCTTCAAAATCGTAATCCTCCAAAGATATTTTATAAATTAATATCTTAAATATCGAATAATTAAATTTAAAATTTCGACTTTCTCGAAATATTTATACATATTTTTGATCTACCACGACTGTAATTGAAAATTTCGAATAAAATTATTTTAAGTAATTATTTATAATGCTTAAATAATATTTACTCGTATCAAATTTAAAATTTCGCCTTTCTCGAAATATTTATACATATTTTCGATCTTTAAGTACCACGACTGTAATTGAAAATTTCGAATAAAATTATTTTAAGTAATTATTTATAATGCTTGAATAATATTTACTCGTATCAAATTCAAAATTTCGACTTTCTCAAAATATTTATATATATTTTCGATTTTTAAGTACCACGATAATAATTGAAAATTTCGAATAAAGTTACTTTAAGTAATCTCAGCCGTTTCTCATTACAATTATTTCCAATTATTATTTTACCCATCATTGTATCAAAAGATTTTTTTTATGTATCGATTCCTTCATATTTTATCTTTTTTTTTTTTTTTTTTTTTTCACCTCTTCGATACAAGTGTATCTACGTAACTACAGATTTCCACAAAGCAGAATCGTTTCACGGTTGAGATAAAAGGTAATTGCAAACCTGATTAGAGTCCAGACCCCAGAAGTCGAGTTCCTCCTCGAAAAGTGGCCCGCAGACGTCTGTTGGGTAATGAAGTTTTCCCGTACGATAGTAATTCAATACTTGGGCGAAGACGCCCGGATGCCGGTCGTAAAAGTACTCGTTCAAAACAGGGTCGTAATTGACCAATGCCTCGGTTAAACGCGACAGCCTGGTCGCTGGTATTTTCCTCAATGTGGATTTGTAAGTCTCGTGCCGTACACCGCCAACGTTCAGGATCACACGGTCGTTCCATCTGCCGTCATCCAGTTTCCTCATCCTTCCCAATTCTCGTGGAACGCATGGTACGAGAAAATGCTCGAATGATAACGGATCCCAGCTCGCTTCGATGGTAACAGCTGTGCTTGAAATAAAATGATTTTAATGAAACGATACGTGCAAATTATTTTCTCGTAATATAATTTGTTTAACTTTTTTTCATTAATAATGTTTTAAACTATTTATCGAAACGATTAAACGGTTGTGTTCAAAATTGTCATTAAAAGTTTTGGAAAATGTTTCTTCGAAACTTGGTCAGTTTAGAATCTTTTTAAATAAAAATATCTCTTGCCAGATTGGATTAATTCTTTATTGTAATTCACGTGAAAGAAGAACGAGATTAGTATTACAAATCTCTTGGGAAAATCGATTGGAGAATAGGTTAAAAATAAGAATTATTTCACGAGGAAATATACATCATCGTCAATTGTGCAATTTAAACGTTATATTTAATAGGTTTAATTTGTATTTCCTGGTTCGAAGAAATCTTTATTTTTTTCGAGGAATAATATTTTTTAAAGAAATAAATTCTTCTTTGAAAAATTTTTTATTGATTATTGATTAGTTTATTGATTAAACCTATTCGATTAATTAGATAATAAGATTAAAATCGTATTTATTATTCTTTTCCCAAATTTTTTCCAAAAATTTAATCTACTTTCTAATAGTAATAAAATATATATATACACACGCGACACAAAGAATGTAGGATATTTATATATTTCGGAAGGTATTTTTATTTTTGGAACTTACATTTCTTACTATTTGCTCAAATATTTTATGAAAATATTATCCTGATTAATTTTAAGAAATACTCATTTTATTTTAATATTATACGAAATAATAATATTTAAAATTCAAATTTTGTAAATAATTCATACGTACACTTGTAGAGAAACGGATATAGATAAGTTTAAAACAATATTACTCTAATATTATTATTTTTAACAAAATCGTTGTTACACAACCACATTTCATCGATAAAAATCACATTTTCATCATCAGGCACTAATACGAATGTTAGAATTATATTTCCACAAAATTTAATCAATAAGATATAAAATAATAATCTTTACATATAATTTATTTATTATATGTATATAATAATTTCATTTCTCGATAACATTATTGTTTTAATAAGCGTAAATAAAATTTTATAATACACTCGAGAAATAATTTAATCGAAATTAAAGAAAAATATATATTCACTTCGCACCTCGACACGATACCGATGGAGAGAATATTGACGATTCTCCACGGTCGAAGAATTCGGAGAGGAATAACCGAACAGCACGAGTTCTATAAATTCGACTCTGTTTATTTATGTGGCCAACCGCGAACGTCGTGTTACCATCGAATCGCGAAGCGACGAAATCGATCCATTCCGGATACGAGATGGAAAATATTTGCTTTCCCATCAAAGAGTCGTTCATTCTTCATTCATGTGAAGATTAAATGTTAATGTGTACATTTCATGGCATTGTAAAATATTGTTTTAACTATCATAGAAGAAGTATAGAATATACTTAAAATTTAAGGCACTTTTTTATTCACTATCTCCATTATTATTAAGATATCACTCTCAATATTGATTTATATTTATAATACGTATAAATTATTACGAAACAGATAATTGAAGTTTTAAAATATTGGAAGCAGCGAAGGATTTCACAAATGATTCTTCGATAGAAGATTTTTTGATATTTAAGTTTCGAAATTCGTCTCTATTTCTGTTGGTTCTTGTTGAACCAATACTACAATTTAAATTCTCTATTTCTAAGTAATCTTTTGCATTAAAATGTTAGAATATCGAGATATTTTATATTATATTTACATTATGTTTAACATAGATAAAAATAGAATATGAATTTCATATTTTTTACATTAAAGATTAAGATATATCGGAATCTCGAATTTTGAATGAAATACAAGACAAAGAAAATAAATAGAGGAATAAATAGTATATTCATATAAAAATTCAGCGCTATTTTTTATTAAAACATTTCACTAAATACTCATATATAATTCTTAACTTTTTTTTTTGTTTTATAGTGTAAAGATATGTTAAGATAACGTTAATTCCACGATTTCTATTTGATTTTTACTTAACTTATTTATATAAACTAAATATATATATTTTTAATTATAGTACAAAAAATAGAACCTTATTTTTCAATAAGAAATAATGATAAATGACAATATATAATAATTTTTATAGTTAAAAAATTTATATTAAACAAAAAAATTAATTTAATAAGATGACATTTCATTGTTATTTTTGAGAAACGATAATATGGATAATATGGAAATTTTAGAGAAAAAATAATCTCAAAAATGAAAATAAATAACACTTTAAATAAACGATTAATAAACCACAAAATAATTGTTATATTACATAAATTTTATTTACATTGATGAATATACTATCTTTACTACTACAAATTCTTATTATTAATGCGCTTTATACTAAATAATAATAAAATTAATAATAAAATTATAAATAAAAAGAGAAAACGTTAGTTCGTCAATCTAGTTATTTTCAAATATAAATCCGTAAAAGGAATTAACAGTAACCCACGTGGATGAAGTTTATAAGGAATTAACGTTTTATCACAAAGATCAAGCTTGAAATTACGAAGAATATTTATCAATCCAATTTTTGTTTGATATACGGCAAATCGTGCACCTGGAACAAAATTCTAATTAATACCGTATTATTATCATTATTTTCCTTTTATATTATCTTTGATTTTAAATTTTTGTTGCACATGTCTACCAATGCAATTTCTTGGTCCGTGTCCAAAAGGTAAAAAATGCATAGGATGTCTTTGTTTTATCTTATCCTCTGAAAATCTTTCAGGATCAAATTTTTCTGGATCTGGATAAATATCTGGGTCGTTATGAATGGCGTAAGTGGGTATCCATATTTTTAATCCTTTTGGAATTGTCACTTTATTACTTTCGAAAGTATAATCGTCAATTAATTCTCTATTCAAAAATGGCAAAGATGGATATTTTCTTAGAGTTTCTGTAAATATAAAAAAAGGTATAAAAGGGAACGTAAAATTATGGGTAATTATTCAAAATATTAATATGTTATTCAAAGTATTAATGGGATAATAATACTTTTGTAATGAAGATTCTAATAAAAATTCTAATGAGCAAAACGAGCGAAAATTAATAAAATTTTAATAAGATGAAGAATATTAAATATAATCAACTATCATCTAGGATTCTTCACTTCAAATTCTTGTCTCACGAATATTAATACTTGCTATAAAGTGAGATATAAATAAAAATAATTATACACACGAAATGAAATTTAAATCTTGATTTGAAATTAGAAAAATTTAAGAAAACTATTCAATAATATTCACCTTGAAAAACTTTTCCCAAATATTCCATTTCCTTTATGGTTTCGTATCTCCATTCTCCGTCATTTTTTGCTGCGAATTCCTTGATTTCTTCTCGTAACTTGTCCTGAATATCAGGATTCAAAGCTAATTCGTAAAGAGCATTGCTAATCGTTGATGATGAAGTTTCGAAACCGGCAACAAAGAAAATAAATGCTTGTGCCGCCAAAAATTCATTTGTTATTTCTAAAATAGGATAAAAAGAAGTAGAGAAATGGATAATATATTAATTTTTGAATACAGAATAATTATTATAAATATTATTATAAACACACAAAGACTAGTATCTTTTCTTTCAGATAAAAAAGTTTTTCCATTTAAAATTATTAAGATTTACTTTAGTAGTAGTTAAGTACGCGTATGCGATTAGCTCAATTTTAAGCAATTATATCGTTAAAAATAAAATATTTAAATAACTCTGTAAAACAAAGTCAATTGGTAACTTCATTTTCCTCCTCCCCCGCTTTTTTTTTATTTAAGCAAGGACAATAAATAAACTTGAAATAAAAACTTTAGAAGAATAAATATTAAAAAAAAGATACCAGAATTATGAACTTCTTTTATAAACTCTTTTTCTGCGTAATAAATCTATAATAACTAACCAAGGCCAATCTTTTCTGGATGTTTCTTAAGATCTAAAAGTATATTCATAAAATCGGGCCTCAAGAGATTGTTCTTCTCTCTGTATTCCAGTGTTTCTCTCGTTAGTTTTATAATTTTTTCCGCCATTTCGTCTGTCGGCCATAAATAAAGAATATAATTGTATAGTCGCGGCATAAACTCTCTGATTCTATGTTTTATTATTCTTGCGTAATTTGTAGCGAAAACAGATTTTCCAACCCGTCGAAATTCGCTCTCTTTTTCTGACAATGAGTTCATGTCTACGCCAAAACCACAGCTTCCAACGACGTCTGTGGTATATCTGGCAGCAACTTCTCGTACATTGATAGGTTCTCCTTTTTTTACTAAGCTATCCACATAACTTACGAGATGCATAGAACACTCAAGAATCAAGGAAAACATTCCTCTAAGTTTATTGGCAGTAAATACTGGTGTAAGATGAATTCTTAACGGTCGCCATCTTTCTGCCTCTATGTTGAAAAGATGTTGAGATATTGGTTCTCCCTGAAACATTGAACATATTAAAAAAATCAAATATTGTTTATTTAGAATATGTTTTTGTCTGTTATATCTTCAATAATTATTTATTATTTATTCATTTTATTATTTTTACTTAGAAGTAAAAAATGTTCTTCATTTATATTGTAGAATAGTTATAAAAATTGTCATGATATCATTTATAAAAGTGGAAAGTTATCATAAGCTATAATTAAAATATGTCGCATATAGATAAAGAATGAATTTGTATTAATTACACTAATTTCGTTTTCTATTTTTTTTTTTTTTTTAATTATTTACTCGAATAAAATATCAAACACAGCACAAATTGTAAGAAAGAATAAATATTACTTTATTTATTATTTATTATTTATTATTATTTATTATTATCTCGAAACTATGTACAGTATTATTTTTACTTTACTTACTGAGACTATTGGCAATAATCCTCGATTCATGATTTTAGAAAAATCTTTAATCAAGATAGTTTTTATAAGATCTGGATCTTTGATAATTAATTGAGGTGTTCTTGTTGTAAATATTCCAATTATAGATTCGTTCTTATATTCATGGTACATCTTTGTAAGAAATTGTGACATTGATTCTTTTCCTAACAATACCTTTTTTATATTGCCAAATCCTAGCAGAGGTTCTGGTCCAGATATTCCACGATTTTTCCAAAAATTATTATTAACCGTTAAATAATAGTAGAGAGTAATAAGCGCTATTACTATTCCACAAAAAATTTCTAAATTAATATACATTTTTTGGGTTTTGTGTATTATGCGATGAGAAAAATTAATTTATTACTTTAAATTTTTACTTTAAAATTTTTATTACTTTAAAATTAGTTAATTTAGATAATTTTTTTTCAATGCTGTTATCGAAATTGTGTCAATATTTTGAATAATAGATGATTAATTATAAGTTATATTTTTTTGATGTTATACACGGAAGAATATTAAAATGGAGAATATTCTTACTACTTTATTTCTTGTAATCTTTTAAAATCATAACAATTATAAAAGTAAGTCTTAAGTGTTTTTCACTTTGCATGTTAATTAATATAAATTTTATTTGGTAAAACGTATGTTAAACTTTAATTATTTTTTTGTTCACGACAAATGTTTTGTTCACAAATAATGTCTCTCTAGGACTGATGTTATATTAATCATCGAGCATATTTTATATATTTGGTAAACGATAATAAGTCAAATTTGTTTAATTTTATTTTCAAATATTACGATAATATGGGAGAAGATATGAAATGTATGAATATTGATCTTGAATCTTTAATAAGATTTGAAAATAGTGATGATAAAATGCATAAACTATTATTATAATTACAATGTATCATATTTTGTGAGTTCATCGATGAATTATATTGCCAATTTCAATAATTTTTAAATTATGTTACGAAGAATTTGAAGAATATGTATTTATATATATATATCCAACGTTATTATTACTTATAATTTTCGACTTTATTTATTTAAAAATCTTTTTCTCGTGATTTATTGCACTATATAATATATATAATATATTAATATAAATATAAATATTATATTAATATAATATATTAATATATTATATTAATATATAATATTAAATATAATATATATAATTTATATAAATTATATTTATTTTTTGCAACTTTTATGTGTCAAGAAATCTGTTATTAAAAATGCTTCTCAGTATAGTAAAATATATATGTGAAATATATATGTAGAATATGTATTGAAATTAATGCATTATTATTATAAATTTTATTTTATTATTTATACTTCGCATATAATAATTTCTGATGCTAAGTAATAAAATGTGATAATTTAAGTTCAAGTGAAATATACAATGTATACAATGTATGTGAATATTCAATACTATTCAAACATGAAGTATGATGTTATCGTTCTCACTAAAGTATTACATTAAGCGATCCAATCATAGGTGAGCACTTCGTAATTTTCAAATAGATAAGATAAATTATCATTTTTACGTTAATCATAGTAAATTGCAGAATACGTATGAAACTTTATTTTTCCTAAATGTTAAATTTACTAATATTTCAAAATTAAGGTTAAACATATGGGATAATTTCTGAAAGTCGATTACTTGAAACAGGTTTATTATCATTTGACATTTGGTTATCAATATCCGATATCGAAGTTAAAATCATTGATTCAACGATAAGCTACACAAATATATAGAAATTGACTAATTTTGATATTTTTTTAAAAAAATAAAAAACATTTTTAGTTTTGAAAACGAAACGTAGTTTGCATACAATGTTATATATTAATTAAAGTATATTGTGACACAATTTAAATTCATATTGTTATATTATGAAGTTCTATTTTATATATTTTATATAGTTCTGTTTATATATATATATATATATATATATATATACATTGTACTTTTGTCAAATTGAATCAATACAATATAGACAATAACTTTTATACACATCAAATGTATAATTTACAGAAGAAAATTATTATATATATATTATTTTATTTCTTGACCATATTTCCATTTTAAAATATTGTATAATTCTAATGCATTCGAAAAATAATTTTATTCGAATTTAACATATGTCGATATTTATTTCGAAATAGTGGTGAAAAAAAATGTCAAGGAATCTTCGTAGTCTATCAAGGAATTCGGGAAAGAAATAAATTTGATTTTCTATAAATTTAATTTTGCTTATTTATATTCATGTATTATATGCGTTCATCATCATTGCGAAATCGATCCATTTGGAATACGAGTTGAAAAATATTCATTTTCCCATCAAAAAGTTGTTCATTTAGATGATATAAATTAAATTAAATTAATGTTATTTTATGCATTTTATAATTTCAAATATATTTCAAATGTAAAGTATCGTTTATTACAAATATAAATAAAGTGGATATACTTAATTTGCAAAATATTTTATTCAATATCTCAAACACAAGATCTCCCTTATTGTTTTAATAATAAAACTAGATTCATAAACACATTATTGATTCATAAACACATATATAAATTATTAAAATAAATAACTATTGTGAAACAAATAACAGGAATTTTGAAAAATTGCAATTATTGAAAGATTCGATAGAAGAATTTTTCATAGTATATTTCAAAATTTGGTCCTAATTCTGTTTAATTTCTGAATTAATACAATATCGTTTAAATTTCATTGCTATTTCCGAGCAACATTTTTCGTTAAAACATTCTTATTGTATATCATGTGTATATTATGTACTATACATAAAAATTGTATAGTTTAGCACAGATAAAAATAATAATTTTTAATTTTATTTTGGCAAAACCAAATAAACAAAAAAATAGTTTTAAAATAAGAATTGATTGTCAGCGCTATCTATTAGAAACGACAGACATTTTTAATGATACTCTAATGATATTTTGAATGAAATAATTTTCAATCTTTTTTCTGTTTTACCATATTATTGAGAAAATATAAGAAAACTATATTACTAAGTAGACATTAATTCTTCGATTTTTATTTGATTTAAATTTGAATCTATGATTTTGAAATCTATTTGTATAAATCAAATATGTATATTCTAATTATAAATACATATTATTCAGAAAATAGAATGTCATTTAAAGTAATAAAATATTATTGATATCATTATAGTGAATGTTTTTATGAAGCACTAATGAATAAAGTTTAAGAAAAAATAATTTTAAAAATGAAAATAGATAACACATTAAATAAATCACAAGAATAACAGTAATGTTATATATGTTACATATGTTGTACATATATTTTATTTATATTGTTGAATATACTATCTCTATTACTATACATTTTTATTGTTAATACATTTTATGCTAAATAATGATAAAGTTTAAATTAATAAAGAGAAATTATTAATTCATCAATCTAGTTATCTTTAAATATAAATCCTTAAAAGGAGTTAAAACTAATCCATGTGGATGAAATTTATAAGGAATTAACGTTTTATCGCAAACATCAATTTTGAAATTACGAAGAATATTTATCAATCCAATTTTTGTTTGATATACGGCAAATCGTGCACCTGGAACAAAATTCTAATTAATACCGTATTATTATCATTATTTTCCTTTTATATTATCTTTGATTTTAAATTTTTGTTGCACATGTCTACCAATGCAATTTCTTGGTCCGTGTCCAAAAGGTAAAAAATGCATAGGATGTCTTTGTTTTATCTTATCCTCTGAAAATCTTTCAGGATCAAATTTTTCTGGATCTGGATAAATATCTGGGTCGTTATGAATGGCGTAAGTGGGTATCCATATTTTTAATCCTTTTGGAATTGTCACATTATTATTTTCGAAAGTATAATCGTCAATTAATTCTCTATTCAAAAATGGCAAAGATGGATATTTTCTTAGAGTTTCTGTAAATATAAAAAGAGGTATAAAAGGGAACGTAAAATTATGAATAATTATTCAAAGTATTAATATGTTATTCAAAGTATTAATGGGATAATAATACTTTTGTAATGAAGATTCTAATAAAAATTCTAATGAGCAAAACGAGCGAAAATTAATAAAATTTTAATAAGATGAAGAATATTAAATATAATCAACTATCATCTAGGATTCTTCACTTCAAATTCTTGTCTCGCGAATATTAACACTTGCTATAAAGTGAAATATAAATAAAAATAATTATGCACACGAACAAACGAAATTTAAATCTTGATTTGAAAGTTAGAAATTACAAAAATTTAAAAAAACTATTCAATAGTATTCACCTTGAAAAACTTTTTCCAAATATTCCATTTTCTTTATGGTTTCGTATCTCCATTCTCCGTCATTTTTTGCTGCGAATTCTTTGATTTCTTTCCGTAACTTGTCCTGAATATCAGGATTCAAAGCTGATTCATAAAGAGCATTGCTAATCACTGATGACGAAGTCTCGAAACCGGCAACAAAAAAAATAAATGCTTGTGCCGCCAAAAATTCATTTGTTATTTCTAAAATAGGATAAAACGAAGTAGAGAAATGGATAATATATTAATTTTTGAATACAGAATAATTATTATTATAAATATTATTATAAACACACAAAGATTAGTATCTTTTCTTTCAAATAAAAATTTTTCCATCTAAAATTATTATGATTTACTTCAGTTAAATATGCATATGCGATTAGCTCAATTTTAAAGATTAAATCTTTAAAAATAAAATATTTAAATAACTCTGTAAATCAAAGTCAATTGATAACATTATTTTTTTTTTCGTTTTTTTATATTTAAGCAAGGGCAATAAATAAACTTAAAATAAAAACTTTAGAAGAATAAGGATTAAAAAAAAAGATACCAGAATTATGAACTTCTTTTATAAACTTTTTTTCTGCGTGATAAATCTATAATAACTAACCAAGGCCAATCTTGTCTGGATGTTTCTTAAGATCTAAAAGTATATTCATAAAATCGGGCCTAAAGAAATTGTTCTTCTCTCTGTATTCCAGTGTTTCTCTCATTAGTTTTATAATTTTTTCCGCCATTTCGTCTGTCGGCCATAAATAAAGAATGTAATTGTATAGTCGCGGCATAAACTCTCTGATTCTATGTTTTATTATTCTTGCGTAATTTGTAGCGAAAACAGATTTTCCAACCCGTCGAAATTCGCTCTCTTTTTCTGACAATGAGTTCATGTCTACGCCAAAACCACAGCTTCCAACGACGTCTGTGGTATATCTGGCAGCAACTTCTCGTACATTGATAGGTTCTCCTTTTTTTACTAAGCTATCCACATAACTTACGAGATGCATAGAACACTCAAGAATCAAGGAAAACATTCCTCTAAGTTTATTGGCAGTGAATACTGGTGTAAGATGAATTCTTAACGGTCGCCATCTTTCTGCCTCTATGTTGAAAAGATGTTGAGATATTGGTTCTCCCTGAAACATTGAACACATTAAAAAAAACCAAATATTATTTATTTAGAATATTTTTTTGTCTGTTATATTTTCAATAATTATTCATTATTTATTCACTTTGTGAAATTTTCTTCATTTGCACTGTAGAATAATTGCAAAAATTGAAAAGATATTTATGAAAATGGAGAGTTATCTTTAGGCATAATTAAAATATGTCGAATATATATAAAGAATGAATTTGTATTTGTAATTACACTAATTTCGTTTTCTATTTTTTTTTTTTAATTATTTATTCGAATAAAATATCAAACACAGCACAAATTCTAAAAAATTTTATTTAATATTGTCTTACCATATACAATAAACCTATGTCTAAACCATATATAGTATTATTTTTACATTACTTACTGAGACCATTGGTAATAATCCTCGATTCATGAATTTTGAAAAATCTTTAATTAAGACAGTTTTTATGAGATCTGGATCTTTGATGATCAAAGCAGGTGTTTTTAATCTAAATATTCCAATCATTGGCTCGTTCTTATATTCGTTGTACATTCTTGTGAGAAATTGTGAAATCGATTCCTTTCCAAATATTACATTTTTCATATTGCCGAATCCCAACATGGGTTCTGGTCCAGGTATTTCACGATTTTTCCAAAAATTATTATTAACCGTTAAATAATAATAAAAAGTAATAAGCGCTATTATTATTCCACAAAAAATTTCTAAACTAATATACATTTTTTAGATTTTATGTATTATGCGATGCAAAGAATTTATATTTTTTGAATTAGCAATATGATTTAATTAAATATTAGTTAATTTAAATAATTTTGTTATTAAAACTATTGATATTTTAATGAAAGTGTTATAAAATGTAATAAAATTTTTTGATTTTATAAAAAATAAAATGAAGAATATTCGAATATTTTTTTTGTAATTTTTTTATCATTAAATTAATTAATATATTTAAATCATTACTAAATTAATTTATAAGAATTTATTATTTATTTTATTAATTATTTTATGAATTATTTGAGAATTACACTAAAACTGATTGTTTCTATTTTTGTTTAAACAAGAACTGTTTGAACAACATTAGTAACTTTGTTTAACTGATACTATTAACCTTAGAACGTTATTTAAGTACTAAATATAATCAACTTATTATCATTAAAATTTTCTTTTTAAATTGTAAGTATATTTGACAAAATAGATTTGAATATTGATATCTTTAGTTAAATGGAATGTATTATAATAAAAATATATAAACTTATTATAATTATGATAAATACTATCTTTATGAATTAAAATCAATGAATTATATCGCTAATAATTCGATAATTTTTGAATTATGTTACGAAGAATTTGAAGAACATGTATTTACGTATACATCCAACATTATTATTGCTTATAATTTTCGACTTTATTTATTTAAAAATTTTTATTTCGTGATTTATTGCGCTATAATTTAAATAAATTTTATTTATTTTTGGCTACTTTATGTGTGAAGAGATCTATTATTAAAAATCCTTCTCAGTGTAATTAAATACATATGTAAAATATATATGTAGAACATGTATTCGAATTAATGCATTATTAAACTTTATTATATTATTTATATCTCACATACAATAGTCTCTGATGCTAATAATAAAATATGATAATTATTCATTTATAATATTTGTACAAATGAAATATGCAATGTATGTGAATATTTACTAGTACTATTCAAACATGATGGATTATTTTATCTTTTTCACTAAGCCATTATCCAATCATTAGACTTCAAGATTTTAGGATAAGATAAATTGTTATTTCTACATTAATTGTAGTAAATTGCAAAATATTTACAAAGCGATTTTTAATCGCTATATTTATAAATATTTTAAAACTGTAAATATGTCAGATCAGTTATATCTTAAAGTAGATCACTTCGAATAGACTTATTATTATTTGATATTTAATATTCGATAACGATATTAAAATCATTGATTCAACGATTAGCTACATAAATATGTAGAAATTGTTAATAATTTTGGTATTTTTTTAAAAAATGAAAAACATTTTTATTTTTGGAAACGGAACGAATTAGTTTGCATGTAATATTGTATATTAATAAACAATAATATTGACTATATTAGAACATGTTATATTATGACACACTATATTATGACACAATTTAAATTATTATTATTAATATATGATATTTTATTTTTTACAATCTATTATTATATTCAACATATAATCAATATATAAATTAAATAATCTGAGTAAATATTTCGTAAATCCATACATATTTGATTATACAAAATTATAAAATAAATTTAAAAAAAGAATAACAATAATTAAATAATTATAATTATATAATAATTAAATAATTATAAAAGAGATGCAAATGAAATTAAAATGTTTTATTACAAATATAATTTTAAATTTTAAGTAATTTACAAGTAATTTCATTTGGTAATATTTAAATCCAAGTTTTGTAAAATAATTCATTTATATTTTTAAAAAAAAAAGATATTAAAAAAAAAATAGAAAAATTGAAAACAATATTTTATTGTCTTTATTTTCAATAAAATCTTTAATACAAATTATCAGATATATACATACATATATATATGTTAAAACACATTATTATATATCAATATATACTATAGATAAAAATTGTATAGTTTTGCATAGATAAAAATATAATTTTTATATTTTTTACATTGAAGATTAAAATGCATTGCAATTTCGGAAAAGGAATGAAATCCTTTAATATCCTGTATTTGCAGTCATACAATAAAAATAAGTATGGAAAAAGAGAGAAAAAATGAAAAAAGACAGAAATGTTATAAAAATTGAGAAATTTTCATCTCTAACAAGACAAAATCAAATAAACAAGGGAAAAAATAGTATTAAAATAAAAATTGATCGTCAGCGCCATCTTTCATTGTCACTAAAATGACAAACATTTTTAATGATATTCTAATAATACTTCTAACGAAATAATTTTCAATTTTTTTCCTATTTTACCATATTATTGAGAAAATATAAGAAGACCTTACTAAATAAACATTAATTCTTCGATTTTTATTTGATTCTTGAAATCTATTTATATAAATCAAGTATTTTTTAATTGTAAATACAAAAAATAGAATGTCATTTAAGGTAATAAAATATTTTTGATATCATTATAGTAAATGTTTTTATGAAGCCCTGATGAATAAAGTTTAAGAAAAAATAATTTCAGAAATGAAAATAAATAATACTTTAAATAAATAACAAAAATAATTATAATATTACATATGTCATATGTTGTACATATATTTTATTTATATTGTTGAATATACTATCTTTACTACTATAGATACTACTAGATTACTATAGATTTTTATTGTTAATGCTAAATAATGATAAAGTTTAAATTAATAGAGAGAATTATTAATTCGTCAATCTAGTTATCTTCAAATATAAATCCGTAAAAGGAATTAAAAGTAATCCACGTGGATCAAGTTTATAAGGAATTAACGTTTTATCGCAAACATCAAGTTTGAAATTACGAAGAATATATATCAATCCAATTTTTGTTTGATATTCGGCAAATCGTGCACCTGGAACAAAATTCTAATTAATACCGTATTATTATCATTATTTTCCTTTTATATTATTTGATTTTAAATTTTTGTTGTACATATATACCAATGCAATTTCTTGGTCCATGTCCAAAAGGTAAAAAATGCATAGGATGTCTTTGTTTTATCTTATCCTCTGAAAATCTTTCAGGATCAAATTTTTCTGGATCTGGATAAATATCTGGGTCGTTATGAATGGCGTAAGAGGGTATCCATATTTTTAATCCTTTTGGAATTGTCACTTTATTACTTTCGAAAGTATAATCGTCAATTAATTCTCTATTCAAAAATGGCACAGATGGATATTTTCTTAAACTTTCTATAAGAAGAAAAAAAAAAAATGTAAGAATTATTTCAATCAAAATATTAATATTTTATTGAGAAATTTTGAAGAATTGATTTAGTAATCAATATATATAAAGTTGATATATAAAAATGTTGTGAGTGAATGTTGTTGATCAGATTTATTTATTAAACAATTTATGTTTGCATTAGATAAAGCAAGATAAAGAATATAATAATTTTTATGTTTTGTTTCATCTTTATCGAATCTGCAAAGTTTCTTGTTCCACATTAACATGAATGTTTTAATTCTTAGATAGTGAAATGTAAATAAAGATTTCAAATATACATATATATCAACAAATTAAAATTTGAACATTCATTTGGAAAAATAAAAAAATTACATTTGAAAAAACTATTGCAGTATTTACCTTGAATTACTTTTTCCAAATAATCCATTTTTTTAATGGTTTCATATTTCCATTCTTCATCGTTTTTCGATTCAAATTCTTTAATCTCCTCTCTTAATTTATGCTGAATATCAGGATTCAAAGCGAGTTCGTAAAGAGCATTGCTCATCAATGTTGAAGAAGTTTCAAAGCCAGCCGTGAAAAAAATAAATACTTGCGCCGCTAATAATTCATTTGTTATATCTATAAAAATAGAAAATGGATAGCATATTAATTTTTGTATGTAGTATGCAGTAATATGTTTGCAAGAAAATAAAAGCCTATTATTTTATTATATGAAAATGTTACCATTCAAATTTAATTTTAAAATTATTATATTAGCAGTTAGTTTAAAATATTAATAATTGTATAAAATATTAATAATTATATAAAAAAGTATAAAATATTAATAATTACTTTTTAAGAAACAATTGAAGTTAATGATCATTTTATCTTTCTTTTTTTTGATATTTAACTATAGCAAGATCAAGTTTAACATAATAACGTAATTTTTTTAACAGTAAATATTAAAAGAAGAAAGAATATCGATAAATTGTGAATATTTTTTTTACAAATTCTAAATTATTTTTGTATAGAAAATCTATACTAACCGAAATTAATTTTTTCTGGATGATTCTTAAGTTCTAATATTATATTCATAAAATCAGGTCTAAAGATATCATATTTTTTTCTATATTCTATTGTCTCCTTCGTTAGTTTCAGAATTTTTGGCGATATTCTATCTAATGGCAATATATAAAGAAGAAAATTGTACACCTGTGGCGTCAATTCTCTGATTCTATCTATTATTATTTTCTGGAAACTTGTGTTAAAGATACTTTTTCCAAGTCGCCGAAATTCGCTCTCTTTTTCTGACAATGAATTCATTTCTACGCCAAAACCACAGCTACCAACGACATCTGTGGTAAATCTAGCGGCAACTTCTCGCACATTAACAGGTTCTTCTTTCCTTACTAAGGTATCCATATAGTTTACGAGTTGCTTAGAACATTCGTGAATCAGATAGAACATTCCTTTAAGTTTGTTACTTGTAAATCCTGATGTAAGATGTTTTCTTAATGGCTGCCATCTTTTTGCCTCTAAAGCAAAAAGATGATGGGATATTGCTTCTCCCTGAAACATTGAACACATTAAAAAATCCAAACATTATTTATTTAGAATATTTTTTTTATAGTATGTTATATCTTCAATAATTATTCATTATTTATTCACTTTGTTATTTTTATTTAGAAATAAAAAATATGTATAACATTCTTCGTTTAGACTGTAGAATTGTTATAAAAATTGAAAACATATCAATTATGAAAATGAAAATTTATTATAAGATAATATTAAAATATGCTTATAGATAAAAAAAAAAATATTCTCATATAGATAAAGATTAATTAGATTAGATTTCGTTTTCAATTTACTTCCTTTTTTTCTTTTTCTTTTATCCACCTACTTGAATAAAATAAATACAAACATAGTACAAATTATAAAAGAGAATAAATATCACTTTATTTATTTATTATTTTGATTATTTTATTATTATCATTATATACAGTATTATTTTTCTACTTACTGAGATAATTGGCAATAATCCTCTATTCATGAATTTTGAAAAGTCTTTAATTAAAACAGTTTTTATGAGATCTGGATCTTTGATGATCAAAGCAGGTGTTTTTAGTCTAAATATTCCAATCATTGGCTCGTTCTTATATTCGTTGTACATTCTTGTGAGAAATTGTGAAATCGATTCCTTTCCAAATATTACATTTTTCATATTGCCGAATCCCAACATGGGTTCTGGACCATGTATTCCACGATTTTTCCAAAAATTATTATTAATTGTTAAATAGTAGTAAAACGTAATAGCAATAAGCGCTATTCCACAAAAAATTTCTAAATTAATATACATTTTTTAGATTTTGTGTATTATGTAATAGGAAGAATTAATTCGCTATCTTCTATAAATTGGCAATAACGTTTAATCAAATATCACTTAATTTAAATAATTTTATTCAATTTTATTATATAATATTTTAAACAACGTGTCACAATCAGATATTTTTGATTAAAAAACGAGGTGAAGAATTTCTTATTATTTTTTGTAATTTAAATCATGACTATGAAATTAACTTTTAAGAATTTTTTATTTTCTTTTAATTATTTTATGAATTTTATTTGAGAGCACATTAAAACTATGATTACTTCTTTATATCTGTTTAAATAAAAACTATTGAAACAATGTGTAACTAGTGACTAGTTAATAACGTACGAATATGGTTTATGTACTGTATACGAAGGATGACGAGCCAAAATTATTATCTTTAATGTTTTTAACTTATTGCGATAAAATACGTGTAAATGTAAATTTTGATTTTTGGATGGAAGATATTAAAATGAAAATAAAATATATTATAATTATATTATCATATTTTGCGAATTCATTATGTGACTAATTTTAATAATTTTGAATTATGTTATAAAAAAAAGTTTCTATTTGATACGTATATTTACGCGTATTTATATTTAACGTTTTTGTTGGTTATTTTAATTTTCATTCATTCAAACAATATAACAATATTTTTTATGATTTTTCGTGTTACAAATTCAAATAAATTTTGTTTATTTATCGATAAATTACGTAATAAATATTTCTTATAAATTCTTTTTTAAAATGTTTTTCCAATAAAATATATGTATGTATGTAGAATATATGTATGTAGAATATATTCGAATTTGTGTATGTTAATTATATGCATGTGATAAGTTAATTATATCTTTTACATGATAATAATAATCTCACGTGATAGCGAATTATGATAATTGTTATGATAATTCATAGTATTCATAGTGTTTTGTAAGGTATACAATTTTTATCAAATATTATCAAATGTTATCAAATATTATCATTCAGATACAATGGATAATTTCGCTGACAACTTTATAACTTTATTTTTCATTAAAGATACTTTTTATTAAAGAACATGATGTTAAAAATATCAAATTGTAGACGTAGATTCATGAATTTCAGAGCCAAGATGAATTATCATTTTTTTTTTTTTATAAACCGTAAATAAATTGCAAACTAATAAATATTTTTCAAGAATCATTACTACTTGTTAATATTTAAAAAATAAGATTAAACATAATGTTATATGCGTAACATCGGATTATTTGAACAAACTTTATATTATTATTATATTATTATTAATATTAATAAAATTGATCAAAATCATTGAAAACAATGTATTTTATTCGTTATATATATATGTACATGAGAATTTGATTAATCTTGTTATTTCTTAAAAAAAAAATCTCTTCGAAGCGAAACATAATTTGAGAATTACGTTGCATCGTGTTAATATATAATGATATATTGCAAGATAATTTAAATTATTATCAATACTACATTTCACTTCTATTTATAACGATTTCTTATCATCATATTCAACGTGTACAAATTAAAGAATTTTTCAGAATAAATATTTATAAAGTTTAGATATACGATTATATGTGATTACATATTCGATAATTATAAAATAAATTATTTTATAAAAAAAAAAAAAACGAATGTAATTAATTTTCCAACTTAATTACATTCAAATATAAACCTGTTGCTGGCATTAAAAGAGACGTAAACGGATTAACTTTGTAAGGAATTAACGTTTTATTGCAAACGTGGACCTCGAAATTACGAAGAATCTTTATTAATCCAATCTTTGTTTGGTATATCGCAAATCGTGCACCTGAAAATCGAAAATATTAGAGTTAAATATATTGAAATATATATATAGAAACTACTTAATATATGCATACGTTATCATGCATTACGTGTTTAATATATCTATTATATTAATATATAATAGATATACACTTTTATAAATCATGATTTATTGCAATATTAACAAGACTTTGACGTATAACAATATTGAGAAAAAAAATATCTCGATTTATCTCACATGACAACATAATAACATAGGATAAAAAAATTTATGATTTTATTATTGAAGGAAATATTTATAGTATTATTTATAGCTATTTATAGATATAATTATAAATATATGAATATTTATTTATACTTAATAAATATTTTTGTACATCAACTTTATATATTTATTTTAATCTAATCTAATGCTAATTTGAAAATAATTTTTTTTAAATTAATAATTATATTTTTCTCGCATACTTGATTAAGAGCTATTAAATTTACTTATTTATATTCATTTGATAAAGTTTAATGAATAAAAAAAAAAATCTGCAAAGTAAATTTTTTTTTCACGTTTGTCGCATAGAAGAGAGGGGGGAGGGGGAAGGGGGGGAGGGGGGGACTTTACAGAAATTGTTGCAAAAGTCATTTTGGGAGAATTGTTTGTAATCAAATAATTAATTTTTGTCACGTACCAATGCAATTTCTTGGTCCGTGTCCAAAAGGTAAAAAATGCATAGGATGTCTTTGTTTTATCTTATCCTCTGAAAATCTTTCAGGATCAAATTTTTCTGGATCTGGATATATATCTGGATCGTGGTGAATTCCATAAACCGGTATCCAGATCTTTAAATCTTTGGGAATTGTTATTTTATTATTTTCGAAAGTATAATCGTCAATTAATTCTCTATTCAAAAATGGCAAAGATGGATATTTTCTCAAAGTTTCTGAAAATGGAACGAGAATTAGAGTTGACGTAAAAACAATGTTTCGATTCGAAAAATTAAAAATCGAGATATTTGTTGTTAAATTTAAATCTTAAATATAATTCGATCGAAATATTGCGGCATCTCACCTTGAAAAACTTTTTCCAAGTACTTCATTTCTTTTATGGTCTCGTATCTCCACTCTCCATTATTTTTCGTCTCGAATTCTTTGATTTCTTTTCGCAGCTTCTCCTGGATATCGGGATTCAAAGCTAATTCGTAAAGGGCATTGCTAATCGTTGACGAAGAAGTTTCGAAGCCGGCAGCGAAGAAAATGAAAATTTGAGATGCTAATAAATCGTTCGTTAACTCTGAAAAAAAAGAAAATGTCGCATTATCGTATATATAATTTTATAAAACAACATAATTCACAAATGAAGCGCAAGAAAAGATGTTGGTGGACCTGGATAACTCATTTTATAAAAATAAAATTTACTTTCAAGATTTTATATATACTTATAATTACAAAACGATTAATATTATTAATATTACATATGGATAATTCATTTTATAAAAATGTAAAAATTTATTTTCAAAATTATATATGTATAATAAATATTTATATATTATAAATATTTATATATATTATATATAATCTTGATTTCAATTTTAAATGACTATTAATATACCAACCAATATCAATCTTTTCTGGATGTTTCTTGAGGTCTAATAATATATTTATAAAATCAGGCCTGAAAATATTGTTCTGTTCTCTGTATTCCATTGTCTCCGTCATAAGTTTCATGATGATTCTCATTTTCTCGTCTCGGTGGAATATATAAAGAAATAAATTATACAGCCGTGGCAACATATCTTGCATCCTGATCTTTAATATCTTTCGCAAATTCGTGACAAAGATTAATTTGCCGAGTCGACGGAATATACTCTCTTTTTCCGAAAGGGAGTTCATCTCTATCCCAAAAGCGCAACTCCCAACGACATCGGTAGTGAATCTGGCCGAAACTTCTCTCATATCAATGGGCTCTCTTTTCTTTATCAACGTGTCCATGTAACTTTCCAATTGGTTGGAGCACTCGAGAATCAGGGAAAACATTCCTTTAAGTTTACTGGAAGTAAATAACGGCGTAAATTGTGTTCTCAACGGCCTCCATCTTTCAGCCTCTAAATTGAAGAGATGATGAGTCAATGGATCTCGCTATAACGATCGAACATATTAAAAAGAAAGATTATTTATTCATTTATTTAATCACTTTTTCTTTTACTTTACTTAGAATAGGAGAATTTAAAATATTTTATATATTATAATTATATGGAATAAGTTGGATAATAAGTGTAATAATGAAAACAAAAATTTGTGAAAATGAAAATGAAATATTAATATAAGTGAGATATGATAAATGGAAAACGAATTTTCCATTTAAAATTTACGAAAACAGATTAATTTAGATTCTGTATTATGTAAATAGATAAAAAAGTGTTGATTCATAATAGCTACATATTTTTTATTATGATAATAATATAATGATAAATGAAATGTTAAAATTGTGAAAAGTTGAAAAAACTTTGAAGAAACGTTGCTTAATTTATTTATCTTTTTAAAATCGTATAAGAAAATAGATCGTGAAACGGAATTATTTTTCATTCGTTTATAAATACTTACTGAGAAAATTGGAAATAATCCTCGATTCGCAAATTTGGGGAATTCTTTGATCAAGAGAGTTTTTATAAGATCTGGATCTTTGATGATTAAAGAAGGTGTTCTTAATCTAAATATTCCAATCATCGGCTCGTTCTTATATTCGTTGTACATTCTTGTGAGAAATTGTGAAATCGATTCCTTTCCAAATATTACTTTTTTCATATTGCCGAATCCCAACACGGGTTTTGGTCCAGGTATTCCACGATTTTTCCAAAAATTGTTATTGATCGTTAAATAACAATAGAACGCGATAAGCGTTATCACTATTCCACAAAGAATTTCCAAACTAATATACATTTCTCTTTTTTTTTTTTTTCACTTTTTGTGTTTCAATTGCGATTCGAACAATTAATTTGCTGCAAAATATAACGATATTTAATGGATTTTAATGAACACTGGCACACTTTCGTTTCACATAATATATATACGAAACATTGAAAAAAGATCATAAATATTACAAATGTCAAACAATTGCATTTACACAATGTCTTGAATGATGTAGAACAGTAATTTTTAAAAAGAATAAAGATATTTAGATCTTACATGAAAAACAGATTGAAGAAAAATAAGAATCGTCTTGGAAGATCGAAAAAAAAACTTGTTTTAACCGTAGATATTCAGTAACTGACGACTTACTTATGAATCGAATATATATGTATGTATATATATATTTATATATGTGTGTGTCTATATTTATATATATATATATATATATATATACATACAGTTTATGTCGATTTTATTCTGAAATAAGAGATAACAGAATAGAAATATAATAAGCGATATTATTTTAAATGTATCTTCTTATTTTTATCAAATGACTTCGAATGATTTTTGAACTTCGTGGAGATTTATGGATAATTTATTTATTTTTAGATTTTTTTTTTTTTTATTATAAGTAAATGGTTACTTATGAATGATTATATTATAGATAATCGCATTTTGAAAATTTATAACTCGTAAGATGATATGAATCTCTAATATACATATTTCAGATTAAATAGATTTAATATTTAATATTTAATTACTTTGATTAAGATTTTCTTTCTAATATGTTATAATAGATAATATTTCACTTTATCTAATTTTATTTTTTGATATTCTCCAACATCATAATACTTACATTATAAATTTATATAATGTTAATTTGTATAATTCTACATATAAATTAACATTATATAAAATTATATAAATATTAATAATAATATAAATACATCATTATAATTTAATATCTCGATACAAAATGCATTTGTCTAATAGAAAATATTTTGAAAAGTTTTACTATATCTATAGTTATTTAACAGATTTCAATTTGAAAATTAAAATATTATTTTAATAATAAGATAATCCTTGATATCCTGGTAAATTTTTTTCAAATATTTTTCCAAATATTTTTTGGCAACATTCACATTTTTCAAGATATTTATATGTTTTCAAATAAATCATGTATATTGAAATAATACAGTTCTTGTATTTACGAATAAATCTTACTCTGCAATTTTTGAATGAACAGTATCATAAATATTTAAATAATAAGTGATACTTGATACTTGATAAGTGATACTTGATACTTGGTACTTGATAAGAGGTGAAAAATATTTTAATTTTATTATATTATAAACTTATCGATTTTTTAAAAATTTTCTACCATATTAGATTGATTGGTTGATTCTAATTAATTTGAATGAATAAAAAGAATTTATCAAGAAATAATATAAATATTTATAATAGATATATTGTTTAATGAAAATGTATTTGATTTTTATTCATGAATACTGTTTATTTTGCACGATCATAATTATATCTAGTATGTTTTTTTGTAATAATTCTTGCCAAGATGAATACTAATTGCTTGAAATTTTCCACTATACTGTAATTATCCTTTCATATGTTTTTGACTTGTTTTTTCTTAATAAAAACTTGGTATCTTTTACGTAGTATTTTTATTATCTATTTGTGAAACATCTTTGAAAAACAAACATAAAAATTAATATACAAAAATGTCAATTGAGGTTTATTTATTAATTTATTTTATTAATAGTAAGCAATTGAAATTTATATTAACGAGACAATAATGTTTTCTTTATATTATTTTATATTTTTGTACAGATTATTCTGTAAAAAATTTTTTATTTTTTTCTTGATAATTTTGTGTATTAAATTATTTCTTAAAAACAATTTCAAGAATAGAACTATGTATATTAAAGATATGTATATAATTTCATTTAGAATTGAGGTAAAGGTATAAAATATACAAAACTAAAATAAATTTTAAATTTAAAAATATTAATATTTATGAAAAGATAAATATAATATTATAATGTAAATTTATAATTTTAATATTTTTTCGTTGCCTTTTTTGATTATATCTATAAATATAAAATATAAAATAAATATTATATTCGACAGCAATTTTGATAACAAAATTAATTAAAAATTAATATTTTTCTCTAACATATGAATTTGTAAAATAAATATAAACAAAAATATAAACAAAAAAGCAAATGATAAAAAATAGAGTAAGAATTGATGGTTAGCGTCATCTCTTAAGTGCTAAAAATATCTCTTCAAAAATATTGAATAAACAGCGCTCATCTATAATTCTTATTCTACTTTATCGTATTTGCTTATATGTATCATTTTCAAGAATAAGATAAATATTATTTCCATATTGTAATAAATTTTTATAAAATTGAATATAAAATAAAATTTTGATATATAAAAATCTAATAATTAATAATAAATAATTAAAGTATATTGTATTTGAATTCTTGTGCGATTGAAATTAATAGGAAATAGTACTGCTTTAGTCGATCAAGAAACCACTAAAGTTTTGCAAATGAGCAGATAAATTAAGGCGCATCATAATGCGCATGTCATCAGTCTACCATTGAAAATTGTGCTGACAAGTTGTGTGTTATCGGCAAAAGTGCGTAATTAGATAAAATTTTTATCCATAAAGTATTATATTACGATTATTAAGTTTAATTATAGGTTATTAAGTGTTGCTTAATTAATACATTTTTATTTGATTATTATTATATTAGAATTAATCATATTTTTACGCAAATCATTTAAAGCTTCGAAGATAAAATAACTTTGAAAGTGTAATAGTTTTTCCATATATCATGATAATTAAGATATATAATTGGACAATTTTTATCTAAATATGGTAAGTTTTTATTTATTTTATATTTTAACAGAATCATTATAAATTTTTTTTATCGTTTTATTCATATAAAGATCGAAGTAATTAAATTATTTCACATATACATATTTCATTTCTAAATGCGTGTTTATCCATTATTGTTCAATTCGTATGTTATTAGAGATTTCTATATTTGTTTTGATTTTACGCTTAAAGTCCCAAAGTTGAAAATATTTCTTATAAGCCTTTCCGAGAAATACGATTCGTATTTATGCCACGCTCCGGTATGTTTTGATTTGTCGAATTGTTAAGCATATCCCCTCTCCTCATTTATAATTCGATACATTGAAATCGCTATACGCGATGTTATTCTGTTATCGACACTCGTGACAGGCAGATGCTTTAATTCAAATGCGTAATTTATTCCGTAATTCTTTAATTTTTTTCTTATTTTTTATATAATTATTTTATTAATAAATATTTGTTTAATTATTGAATATTAATTTTATTGATAATTTTTTGAAAAATGATTTTTTGATAATTTCTTTTTATTTTTATTCGTCAATTTGACAATATGAATTAACTATTAACTTATATTGGGAATTTCTAAAATAGAATTTGAATCAGATTGCGATTAGTTTAATTTTATACATTTATACATTTATTTTTTAATTTTACATTTATTTTATTTAACTTTTTTGCGCAGATAAATAGCTGATCGCTTTAACTGCAAAAAAGGAAAAACGTCACGATGAACAGTCACGATGACAGCTAACGTTTTATGGAAGAAAGGTAATTTTTTTTAACTGAATTTATTAAAGTGATAAGATAACATTCAGTTTTAAAACTAAATAGGCATAGATTTTGTATTTTTTAAATGATTTCAATTCTGCATACATACTTACATTATAGCATTCTAGATGGCGCAAGAAACATTCTGATCTTTCTTAAGGTCGGTATTTCAGAATACGTGAAAATTCCATAAGATATTATGTCTATTTTGTTTCTCGTTTGTATGTCGATGACAAGTTGTAACACGGTCGGTATATCATTTGATCCCGGGAAAATTCTGATCTCTATGTAGAAAATCCTGTAATATGGAAAGATTATCGAAAGAAAATCTTAGAGAATCGCGGCATTGCAAAATCGTTATATCGTTGCCAGCAATTGAACAAAACGAGATAATACATCTTTCGATTGTCACAAACAGTCGTGGAAATTCACGAGTGAGTTGTTTACCCGTATACAGCAACAAAACTAGCGCAGAAAACTGTCGATTCGTTGAACGCCATGCATCACGCGAACACAAGCGCGCTAGATAAATACATAGTATAAAAAAATTCTACGACTGTAAAACGAAAAATCATGATCTCCGTAGCTACATTGTTATCGATATTTATCATTCTATATTTTTTATATAATTTTTCATAATCTTATGATCATCTCAATATGATTATTTCTATCTTAGTTTTAAATAAAGAAAAAACAATTTCTTGTGCATTTATAAAAATTAGATTTTGAAGCTAATTCGACAAATTAATTTTTTTTAAATTAGGATCATAATTTTTTCTAAATTAAATTTTGAAATTTCTTGATCGTATTTATATATAATAAATATTTTATAAATCGTCAATTATAATATTCAATTGTTTTAATAATCTTCACTTCTAAAAAATGATTATTCTCAATAAATTCGACCAGTTTGACTTCTATATAACACATCATATCGAATAGAATGTCATAATTTGCTTTCAATACAAAACATATCGTGAATTTTGCGCATTGATTTTACGAATAATAAGATTATTTGAAACCCAAATTTTCGATGATATAAGCTAGCATCTATTTGAATTAGACTGAATATAGGTTCTGTACTATAGGTTCTGTAAGATGTTCCTCCTTTTCATAAGCATAAGAGTACGCATCCATTTCTCGCGTGGGCGTCAGTTCTTCCGTGGAGGGTCGATGACGTAAAACACGATCCTTTTTTTTCTACTTTTTTTTTTTCCGCTTCCCTTTTTCTACTCCCTTCCACCGCAATATCTTCCGTCTGATACGCTTTTTTCCAGATTGCCAATCCGTCAACTCGTAGGCGTCGTGCGATACGTTCCGTATTTTTTATCGAAACGCGATGACGTTTGTTCGTTGTCGTTAGCGAGAATATTTCTTTCTTTTGATGAGAGCTGAATCGATCGCAACGATTGATCGTTGGGTATGGTTTTTATTTTCACGAACGTTTCTTTCTCTTTATCTTTCTTTTTCATTCGCCTAGGGGTTTTGTTTAAAGAATCATGGCGAAGTTGAATTATTACGTAGGTTCTTATCGGATAAAGTTCAAATGGTCTTCGTTTCTCGCGCATATAAATATTCATTGATATGTGGGTGTTCATCACGTAGGTTTCATTCAGTTGTTTTTTTTTTTCAATTTAAGATTCAATTGTTCTCGAAAACTTGTGACAACTTTAATATTTTGTACGTTTAACATTTATCGACATTTGCGCATTTGTGCACTTGAAACCGGCAGAACTTGATAAATCACATTTTCTAATTTTTAGAATATAGAGAAGTTTTAAAGTTAAGTTTATTCAAAATGATTATTACATCCTATTTAATTCCTTAAATGTTAGAGTTTATAATTAAAGTTGCATTTCACAAAATGATCTATTATAGACATCTATAAACATGATGTCGTATTTAAAGTAAAATATTAATTTAAAATTACTGGTTTTACACTCGCTTCATCCATGAAATTAGCGATGCCGTTAATCTGCTATTTTAAAAGAAGTAAACTTTTATCACAAAGTTTTACTCACCGACTACTTTTAATCAGTTTTATTCCTTAACTACCTTCAATGGCATTAAACTGGGAGGAGATTATTATCGAAGGAAATATCTTCCAAAGGCATTTGTTTGGCTTTAAAAAAAAAATCTTCATATTTATACCTTTTAAAGATTTTTTTATTTACCAAATAACACTTTATAGTCTTCGTTGTTGCAATTATTTTTAAAAATATATATATATATATATACCTTTCATGTTTTCAAATTCTATAATATTATTCAGATATCTTATATAATTTCTCCATCAATCCGAGTCTCGTTAATTCTACATTGTCGAAGGAATCACCCTTACCGAATGCCCTGTGTAATTACCTCATTACACAGGTGGAAACAGTCGACTTGGAGGCTCCATGAAATGGAATTAATTTCAACGTAGTTCATTCGTGAATCCAACTCAATTTCATAATACCCATTTCAATCATATTCGTATCTCGTAAAATATTTTAATCATGCGTATGACTTTACAAATTTTATCTTCGAAAAAAAAAAAATGATATCCGAAAGACAAGAAACTGTATTCTTACCTTCGATGAAGCGTAAACACGTTCCCTCTGTTACAAGTCTTGGATTTCCCTTGAGCTTTTACCGCTAGTTAAAAGCGACTACGAAAGTATTGGGAACACAAATGATCCGAGGTACGAGTTCAACCTTCCCTTCCTGGTTTAGCAAACGATTTCTTCACGAGGAATCCACTACCATTCCATCCTCGTCCATTCATCCCTTCCACAATCCGAAATTCTCCCTCGTACGAACCGTGTTCGATCCACGATCGGCCTTCGAGACGTTTCGGCTTTCTCTTTTTCCTATACTTTCTTTTTTTTTCCCCCGTTACGACCTTCCACTTCGTTCGGAAGCAACGAGAACGCCACGAGGTGAATTCGTCTTTTGTACGGTGGGATTTTTATTTATTAAGGGAATTGACTCGTTGTTCCATTGGGATATGATAAAATGTTGTCGGGTATGTGGTATATTTTGGGATAACGAGTTGTTCTGATTTGCGAAACAGGAAGAGTATTTCTAACTTAAAATTATGAAAATTTTATTTTTTTAGTTTTATTATTTATTTAAGTTTATCTGTTTGCAAAATTTATTTTTTGCGTTTGTTTATTAATGATTTAAATAAAATGTAGACAAAGAAATTTTATTTATTGAAATATATATATATATATATATATATGAAAATGTATATATTTTCATATATATATGAAAAATATATATGAAAAAAGTGGAAAATATGTTGAAGTATGTATGAAAGTGGAAATATTAGAGATACTGATGAATAAGAAATATAATAGCTTCATGGGTCAATGTTTTATTCATTTATTTGAAGCAAAGGATGAAATATATTTGATCAATCTCGTATCATTTTTTATATATAAGTTATGTTTCATATGTTCCATTTTTTCGAATAATTTTTTATCTAGTTCTTAGAAATATTAAGGAAATAGTTACTAAATAATTGTTAATAATATTAAAATTTTTACAATACGATTTATACTTAACAAATTACATTTGTATCTGAAGTTTCATAAATTTCAATCACACTAGTATTAAAAAAGAACTAGAAATTAAAATATTAAAACAATTTCTAACGCGTATATATTTTAATATAATTCATAATTCTAACCTATAATTTTAATCTCGTATAATTCTGCACACACCGCAATACGTAATCGTACAATTTCCCTTTCGATCTTTGCGCTTATATCCGAAAACCCATAAATCCTGACACCTGTTCAACGAGCAAATTTCCTCTGTACCAGCTCGCTCTTTATGCATCGTGAAAATAAAAATTGCAAAGAATATAATCCACAAAGAAGTCAAGTGAGACAAATATTCGATAAGAAAAATAATAGAAGGAAAAGATCGCTAATATAAAAAAAGTTCTATCGTATATTTTTAATCCACTACATTAAAATATTCGTAGTCTATTTAATTATTGCAAATTCCATCTTTTTATTCATAATATAATTTTAAATAAAATATATTAAATACCGAACATACCTTTACAACTCTGCACATTTATCTACCACGAAACATTCATATTCTATTTAGTTATTACAAATTCCACTTATGCTATTCTGAAACTAACATTCCACTTTCCTTAAACTCATCCACAACGATCCAATATACGATATTTATACATCGCAAGCTTCGTAGAATCAAAAAATCTTTAAATACTTAAATCCTCTTGAGTGCTATGATCACTCTACTTTACCGTTATAAAAAAACGTAAAAGTATCGTGTCTTATCTATATATAATTACCGCGTACCGTGTATCATCTTAAGCTCCTTTAAAATTAAAAAATTTATACATCATTTATCAAACAGCAAAGAAATCATTCTTGGCCCATTTCCAAAATTTTCCATTTCGTTCAAAGTGAGACCTATCTAGTCGACTCGGATTCTAACCTTATTAAACTATCATAAATTCCAAATTCAAATTCTCTCCTATCTTTACGCTCGATCTTTAAGCTCAACGCGATCCAAAAATCCAATTTCCACGAGCCACGCGATTTTTTTTTTTTTAAAAGCCTCAATTCGGAATATTTAAACTCTCCTGTATAAATGGATCATGTGTAACGTATAAGCCGAAGCATTACGCGCGTCCACGACTACTACTACGACACACGCGAGCCATCTTCCGCCGTGTTTCGGAATTAATGGAAACATTCGCGCATCATTCATTTTAAACGGACATGAAACGGTCCCCGGCCAACCCGCCCGCCCCAAAACTCTCCTCCATCGTTCGCGGTGAGATCTCTCTCGTCGACGGAGACCGAGCCTTGTCCCCTACTTCCCTCGCTGTCCGCCTGTGGCGCTGCGCTCTCGGCCGTGGTCGGGATAGGTCGGCAGAACGAGACGATGTACGTTCGAGGGAGGGAACGGAGCGTGGAGATAGTCGACGAGGACGCTGGGTGGTGAGTGCCACCGTAACCGGGTCCTCCTCAGGGGTCCTACCGTCAGGACCACGGACAATTTTCTCATTTTTTTCCTTCCCGTTTCACGCGTTCTATCGCGAAAAAAAGGGGAGAACAACAAGAGAGAAGGACAGATCGATAGAACCGGCGGCAGCGGCGGCCAGTGTGCTTTTGCTTGCTCTCGCCTGTGCTTCGTCTCCACGGTGCGTGCGTGCTTTTTCTCCCTTGCTCTCTTTCTCTCTTTCTTTCTCTCTTTCTCTTTCTCTCTCTCTCTCTTTCTCTCTCTCTCTCTTTCTCGCTATTTCCTTGCGTGTGCTCCGTGGAACAGCGGGGAATCGAGAGCACACACCGGGGTGCGGCCGACGATGGTGAAGGCCCCGACCATGGGTCCCTCGACCGGCACCCAGGGGATCAGGAAGATTCACCCTGGGCCCGAAATCGCGATGAATCCGAGGAATCTGCCGACCGCGAACGCAACTACACCTCCCAGCATCCGAACAGATGGCAAGACCACCTCTATCTATCATCCTCAGGTATATTAGGATTTTTCATCGTTTTTAGGATAGGATGTTTTTTTAACCATCCTATTCTCTGGTGTTTATACAAGTTTTGTGCAAGTGCAATTGCATACGTGTTTTGCGTTCTCGTAATCGTGTCTTTTTTTTCCTCTTTCTTTTTTTTCCTTTTTTTCTTTTTCTCTTTTTTTTTTTTTTTTTTGATTTCACAGTTTGGTTTTTTCGAAAGTTTCATATTTACGTACGCCGCCACCGCCGCCGCGAACTTTGTTCTCGTACGCGGTTTTGCTCGTTTTCCACTCTCGCGACGACAAGGGAAACAATTTGAGTGTTGTGAACGGGTCGGGGGTTGCGACGGCAACATCCCTTCGCGGATCAGGATCCGTATCCCCGCCAATGCTCCGCTCTTGTGCTGATCTCCCTTTCGCCGAGTTTCACGGTTTTTGGCTTTTTTCACCACGTTTCCAGCTGTGCTCCGTTTTTTCCCTCCCCGTGGACGTTGATTAAGGACAAATTGAGCTTCGACCGATGTCGATCGAGTTCCTGGCTCGCCTCTTTTTTCTCATCTCGGTTTAATTATTCTCGCATTCGCAAAATTTCGTCAAAAATAATCTATTTGTTTATTTTTGCGAATCACTAAATTCAACGAATCGAAAAACTTTGTCTTCGAAAATAATATTTTATCTTTCTCTGGTTCCCCTTCGTTAGCTTTGAATTCTTTTATTAATTACAAAATTTATATATTTTTTCGTATCGTGTTATAGAAGAATTAAATATAATGTATAATCACGTTAGTAGTGAAATTTTTTACGATCGAAATTACGATCCTCGATTATATTCATCAATGTTTGATGGATTCTATAAAAACGATTCTTTCTTAAATTTTTATAAGATTATATCGGTTCGATACTTCTTTTTTTTTATTTTAGATTATCAATACTTGAATTTCAGTTTATTTATCGGTAAAATAAAATGTATTTAAATTAACGCGCGTAATGACGGTATAAATCTATTGATTATTCCTTTTTTTTTTTTTTTTTTGTTACTATTTTCGTTACGATTAATAAAGCGGAAAGATTATTTTTTTTTAATCAAATATTTATCGTAATTCCGCGATTATTAAAGCGAGAACGAAATTTCTGCGTGTTTATTTTGCTTTACCTTTATCCACGGTACATCTACGATTTTTCATGTTCGTGCGTTTAATCAACGTCGGCTCTATTTACGTGGTCATTAACCGTGATGCTTCATTGCGGGGATAATTAGATCAGTCGAAGCCTATTAAGTAGCAGGCGTCTTTCAAACAGAGTAACAGATGTTGAATGTTGTGGCAGTATTCGAAATTTCCCTTTAGAGTTCGAGTTATATACCATGTATATATATATATATATATACATATTTCCTCTTATCAAACAGAATAGCTAGAATAGAGCAGTTAATAGGATAATATTTTTAATTGTTCTCCGATCACGATGTTTCACAGATTTTGAACAATATTATTCGAAATTATTACAATTATTACCTGTTTCCTGTCGATTAAGAATTCTTCTCATTCTTCATTTATTTTTTTCATATGAATTTTTTGGAATCAGATTTTTAAAATATTTATTCTTATCGGATGAAAATAGAATTTAAAACATTCGAAACGATGAAGCTAGAATTTACAGTAGATTTTTTATTTCGTTTTATTTTTATTTTTATTTTTATTTTTTTTTTTTTTATCATTAAACAGGAGTGTCACAAAATCACTTAATCACTCCAGATCTTTTTTAACCCTCCATAAAATCAAGTGATGCAGAAGTGACGCATATCAACGTGCTTATATTTTTAAAATATCGTTCTATTTGTTTATCAATATTCCATTCAATTTTATCTCCACACCAATATACTGCAATTTATTTATAAGAATTATTGCTTTCCAGTTTATCGATCGAAGATTGAAAAACTTCGATCAATCATCAATTTTCTCAGAAACAAACGAAACTCCAATCTAACCTATATACTTTCTAACTTTTAAGTTTAATTCATCCATACCATCGATACAAGTTCAATCAAAAAGCGAGAGAATTCATTCGTCCATTCGTAAATTTTGCAAATTTTTCGAATTCAACTATTCCCACATTGTTTATTCAATTTTCAACAACAAATTTAAAACTTCTCTTTAAATTCCTCCTCATGTTATCGATTATTAAATAATTATTGTCACGCAAAGGTCCCATCTTGTTTTTCGATTTCTCTTCCGTCCTGTCTCGAGCACGATTTCGAAATTGCATTGATCTGAATTTCTCCAGACCAAGAAACCAACCCACCCCCTCCCATCCCTTTATTTCTTGCACGATCTCTCGTTTGATCTTTACGCGACAGAGCCCCCAACTTGCTCTTCATTTCACACCTTTGTCGGCGCAACCTTTTTGCAATTCAATGATCCTGGATCTGAGGGGGGAAGGGGAGGACGGTTTCGATGCGTTCGCAAATAAATTATTGTTAAATTCAGCGGGGAGATATTAGGTCGAGGCGGAGGGAAGGATGGAAAAACGTGCGGGCGTATTCATGAATGAATGGATGCCGCGATGCTTTCTCGAGAAGAAAGCTCGTAATCTTTTAAATCCATTGATTTATTCGATCTCTCGCTTCTATTTCTCTCTCTCTCTCTTTCTCTCTCTCTTTTTTTTCTTTTTTTCTATCTCCTCTCCTATCTTCTTTCCTTTTTTGTAATTCAATATTATCGCCATCGGCCGGAACGTAAACGAGCTAATTTATACCACTTCTTGTAACGTTGCAACTTCTGATTCATAATTTACTACTCCATTATTAAAGGCTATTAGTTTTTTTTTTCTTTTTATTTATTTTTTTTTTTTTTTTTAGATATTTTTTGGGTATAAACTTTGCGAAATCTTGGTTCTGTTTGATTAACAATTAATTAATATCGGACTATTTTACGAAAATAGTGACGTTATTCGTTTAAAATATCGACGATATTTCCGATTATCGATAAAATTAAATTTTATTGAATCAGGTAGGAGACAGTGTTCAAATTGTCAAGCAAATTGGCAACGAGTTTAGATTTATGAAATGGTTTGCAATATATGCGTAAATATATTCGTGGAATTATCGGTCGGTTTAATTGTAAATTGTAAATATTTCCAAAATACGCGATTTCTTTAAATTTTGAATCACTTCGATTTCGATCTATAATATACAGTAAATGACAAAGAATTAATTGAATCATGTTTTAACGAATATACACGCCATGTATGAGTTATATAATCTTTGTAATGAAAATGCAAAACAGCTTGAACTATTATCACAGAATTAAACGAATAATTTTATCAAGTTTATCAATGAAACCGAGCCGTAGATCGGAACGTTTAATAACATATTTTCTTGTCCATAACAGGTTTTCCTAAAGAAAGCGCAATGTAACCGTGGAAAAATTTTAAATTGCGAATTAATCGCTTCATTTAAATATTCATTCGCGTACGTGGATCGAGTAATTTATTCTTTTAAGCTCGTTGTTTTTTTTTTTTTTTTTTTTTTTTTTTTTTTTTTGCTTTATTTATGAATTTTTAATACACCACATACACAGAAAGCGAATTTTAAATGTGTATTATACTAAATACGTTTCAATTAATTTCTAAATATACATAAATTTATCTTATTTCGTTTTATTTCGTTATATCTGATATCGTTCAATTTATCATATCAAAAGTTTTCTATCTAATCAATCAATGAATAAAATAGATAATATCTATTTTTCTGCAACGATTAAGCTACTTGAAAAGAATTATTTTTCACGGGGGAAGGAAAAAAAAAAAAAAAAAGAAAGAAAGAAAAAAAAAATAAAGCAGAAAATACGTACGTACAGTATCCTTTGTTCTCGAGAAAATCGATTTTCTGGATACGTGAGATACGTGTGTTTGACTAAAAATTCGGTTCAATGAATATCACTGGAAATGTCTATTATGTTTATAGTTAATACGGTGTGTACGTGTAGATTCAGCAACCTGTCACTAAAAATACCGTCCCCTTCAGTAAAAATATCGAGAATCTTTTATAATTAGGGAACGAGAGAGTTATTAAGATGCACAAACAGTTAGAAATTCAAATTATGCTAATGATGCACTCGATTCACATTCTCGTCTCGTAAAATCGCTGGTGCGATAAAACCTTGCCAAAATTATTTAAATTTTAAACGTTTGATAACTGGCTCTTAACAGCTGCTTAATTCATAAGGATACATTTTATTTATGGGAATAATTTTTTTATTCAAAAAAAAAAAAAAAAAAAAAATGAATCACGTAGTAAAAACATCTATACAATTATGAATGAAGTGTTATACAATTTTATAGATAAGATATAATAATTAATTGACAGAGATATTTATATATTGTATTTGTATTAGAAATAATAAAATAATTGATACAAGTTTCATTAACTACAACGAGTCACAGACAAGTACACCGTGACTCTGTGTATTTAATTTTTATTTTCACTGGGGACGACTTATTTTCTGTTTGTACTAGTTGCACTTGTAAGAGAGTTGAAATACTTGTCCAGAAAGTTTATAACACTGTCCAGACATTTTGTGTAACAAACTATCTCAATAAACAGAGTTCTATTAAACTATATACACGAACGTTGGAAGATGTCACGAGCAATTAATATATTTCGGCTACTCTACAATCCGTGTAACCTATATATATATATATATATTATATTATATCAGACATCGAGAGCACACGCATCTCGATTTTCCAATGTTCCATTAATTTCTGCGATAAATTTATTGTAATTTTGTTAAAAATTGAACCGCATCTTTGATCTTTCGATCATCGATCTGTTTCGTTTAATTTAACGAATTGCGTTTTTTTTTTTTATTACGATAAAAGTTCAACTTGCCTTCCCCGAATATGTCCAGCTTAATTTCATTCGATTCGTTGAATTATTTCGATTGAAACGTTGCTCGATATACAGTTACAGTCTTTTCTCACGGAATTTAAATTTGTAAAACGAAAGAT